AATAAACCCATAACATTTCTGCTTTATGCCTTGGCATGTCCAGAGTTATGTGCCAGTTGTTTTTTTTTTTTTTTTTTTTTTTTTTTTTTTTCCTGTCTCCAACAACCCCTCTCTGCACCACCACCCTCCACCACTCATTGTCTCCAAGGCCCCGTCGCTACCTGTTCTCTGCTCTTCTGGGGAGCATCAGTTCGCATCTCCGGTAGAACGTGCACCAGTGGTGCTCAGGGCCACAGCTAGCTTTTCGTGGGCAGCTCTGAGTCTGTGCTGCAGTAAGGAACCCAGCAGTCCCTGGGGACTCAGCCACCCAGGACAGGCTCCCTCAAGCTTCCTGAGTCCTCCTTTACCACCACCATTGTACGTCATGCCACGTCGTTTATTAGCAGTTGTGTCTCTTAATTACAAACGCCATACATATCACTGGTCGTGATTATTAGGAAAGAAAAATGATTTAATTTTGATTTCTCAGAAAATAACATAGATCTATTCTGGGAATGCCTACATTCAAAATAAATGCATTTGCTCTGAAACAGGACATGCAGCTTCATAGGTCACTGGAAATTATTAGCCAGCTGCTAATTTTCCCATTTAGAAATCTTCCCCACATTTCTCCACTGACTGTGGTCACCACCAAATGTGGAAAACCAGTGCTATCCAGGTTCCAGTGTCTGTCTGCATTCAGTCCTTAGAGATCTCAACCTGATTTCAAGCTCTGATTTCTTTAAGACCCTGTGTCTGTGGACCCAGTCCACCTTTGCATGGCTGATATGGCTTTTATAGCATTGCCTTTGGGGTGCTGGGAGTTGAAATGTATGGTTTCGTTAATGTGGTTGCACAAACTGCAGGTGGCGGTACACCTACCTCATACTTAAAAACTACTCGATAAACACAGACGTTGTCCCACAACTTTAATGTACTAACGCTTCTTTAATTTTAGCTTCTCAAAATTCAATGAACCCTATTTCTGGTGACAATGCATTCAAGGTTTATTCCTGTGAGGCTCTGGGGTAGGGCTGCATGTATAAAGGTGGCATATCCCCCACTGGCTGAATGTACGCTAGCAGAGCCATCTGTCATGGTGCGTAGACTTCATTCAGGCAGCTGTGAGTGTCAACACATTACAGTCTGGAGACAAACTAACTTGGCCGGCACACTCTAACTGTTCTCTAAGCCGTTCTGATGTCCCTCCACACATAGATTGGGGCATCAGAGTCAGAGCTCTTTCTGGGAGAAGGTCTTTTCTGCTCATCCTGAACAGGTGTGCAGGGAAGGGCACCCCTTTGAAGCTGTCAGCTGCTTGTGCTCTGTGTATTCGCGACCTTCAGGAAGGCCTTGCTCCAGGGGAAAACCTGGAAGGGCTAAACTTTCCCATACTTAGATTAGATATACAACTGTCTTCATTCCGTTTCTTCTTGTGTGTCCTTGTGTCTGTTCTCTACTGTAAGTTAAATGCTGGCTGAATGAGGACTAGATCTACGTAGCCCCTAGTGACTGGGACACATCTTCTTTCCCTTCTCCTGGCCTAGCCACGCTGGCCTGCTGAATAGAGCCTCATTATGGGCCCCAAAGTCCACGCTTTGCTTCAGGAACCCTGCCATGATTGGTAGGCCGTTCGATTTGGCCTAGAGATGGTTTTTTCTATGGTATGTTTGATGACTCCATGTGATTCTTTATATGTGTCTTAAAGAACAAACAGATCCTTTAACAACTTTTTTCTACATGAAAACAATCAATTCCAGCAACCCAGCCCACATGAACCACCCTACAATAACAAAGCAGAGTGTGCGCGTGAAGGAGGAAAAAAAGTTTCGGTAAGGAAACAGATTTTAGTTTAAAATTTCCAAGGGGTTGTAGAAACAGTGAGTAAAATCCCTATTTAAAATTTGGAGAACACAGTAGCTCTTTATTCCATTTAACAAGGCTCTTGCATCCGAATTTTAAAATACTTCTAGAATGCCTGGGGTTAATTTTTACACCCACCATGTAAATTTTATGTATTGACATCAGCTATACTTTTAAAGAGTTCTGAGGCAGGCTAGCTGTGTTTCCTTTGTCTTAGACAAAGGGCAAGGATTCACATTTTAAAAAGAATGTGCTGTCTATAAAGGAGGCGTTGGGTGTAACTATCGCCATGCAACTTGACTAGTCATTCTTTGGATAAGCACTATTTCAATACTATCAAGAATTTGGCAAGACCTTGGCTTGTGGTAACCAACATGCTTGTCAACAGACGCCAAACTGGGATGCTGATTCCAGAACAGACCATGTAATAAGTCTGGCTGAGTTGTCCAGTATGGTAACCACTTGCAGCTATTTGGTTAACATTTAATTCTTCAGTGCTACTTGCTGTATTTCAGGTACTCTACAGCTACTTGTGACTATTTGCAACCAAATTGGGTAGCACATAACCTTTAAATAGAGCATTTCCATCTTTACAGACAAGCCTATTAGAGAGTGCCATTCTATAGGATTACTTACTGAGTCTAGCCTACCTCAGTGGAAAAAAGACAACATTTAGGCGGCATATATTATGTATCTTTAGCACTTTTCACCCAAGAATCACTGTGTGGCCATGAACTGACATTGAAAAAGAACATTCACGATGGAAATTGAGAACGTTGATGAATGTGTAATTGAACACAATTGTTACTATATTATAGTAACAATTGCTATAGCCAATTATATTATCTGAGAACATCATAAGCCCAGCCAAAGCAAAATACCTATTAAAGTAAGATTAACATCTCTGGGACCAGCAGATGGCGTAATGGCCATGTTGCTGGACTCCCACTCAGTTGACCACAGTTTGAGTCCTAGACCTGGTGGCCTAAAACTCATGCTAGGTGTGTGTGTGTGCATGCCCAAAAGCCCGAGAGGACAATGGAGAAGGAATTGTGGTGTGGCCATCCCCCCGGGGGATAATTTTTCGCTTTCTGTCTCTGTCTCTCTCTCTCTCTTAGGTGAGCACACGCACCATGGAGCAAAAAATCTCTCTAATATTTTTTTTAAAAAAAGATTCACATATCTTTTGAGTCAATATTACCTTTAACTAGCAGCCATATATTCTAGTTGTAAAAGTTATACTGAGTGTAAAATTTTAGAAAATACAGAAAGAATAGAAGTAAGAATATATAACTCCAACTTTAAGAGAAAACCACCTTTTATATGTTGGTGAATAACTGATAATTCTTTCACTATGAAGTTTAGTTTTTAAGTGGTGTTTCCTCCCCACTTAACTTGTATTCCTCTTTGTTTCTTTCTTAAAGTTTTGTATTTGAGAATGAATAGTCATTACCTTTACTCTCGCTATTAATATGAGCTGTACCTCAATCTATGGTTAAACCATGAAAATTATCTTTTTCTTGGGATTTATCCAGAAGAATTCCATTTAGGCTCTAACTTACCTTTAACTTCTTTTTTACTTCTGAAACCAAAGACATTTGTCAGAATCCTCTGTCATGAATGAGGCCAAATTGCCAGTTCTTCTAATAAAGCCAAGGATGTGGGTGTGTGTGTGTGTGTGTGTGTGTGCGCACGCACGTGCACGTGTGTTGATTTTCTCCTAAAAGAATGTATTGTTATGATGTGTTGTTTGTGTTTAGTATTTGTTTTAAAATGTTCCAATTATAAAAGAAATTCTCTTTTTATAGGTTTCACTTTCCCTCGTCTCAACCCCCCATTAGTTTCCATGGAAACTGGGAAATTTTCACTCAGCCCAGATCCAGAAATTCAGAAATTCTCTTATCCACAATGTTGCATATATATTGTCAGAAAGGAAAAAGTGAAATATACATATACATATATATATATATATATATTTATATTTATATTTATATATACATACTTATATATATATATAAATACATAAATGCATGTATGTATACATATATAAAATTTGTTCAACTGAACATAAAACTATTTTGCTTTTAAAGGTCTTTGTTATAGACCTCAGATTACCATGGAAGCAGACTGTGGAACTTTAAAAATTTTGAATTCCAATTTTCTAAATCTCTTTGTTTTTAAATAATAGTCCTCCTGTATAGAAAAAATTGTTGAAATTATGGAAAGCATATTGGTAGTAGTACTATGCTGATCCCAAGATTCATGAAAATCTGCTCTGGAATCAGTTTAGTCCCATTTGATTTCCTATTATTATAAATTCAATTTCTATTTGATCTTTCTTATTAGATAAGCTTTCTAAATAGGAACTGGAGCATTTTGCCAAAAAGATCATATACAAACATATTGGTAAAGTGAGGATTTAAAAAGAAAACAAATACGATAAAAAGAAAACAAGAACCATGCCCATTTTCATAACTTTTATAATAAAAACTTATTATTAAGTGAAAGCTTATTTAATATACCATATATGTGTGTATACATATATATATATATATATTTAAGGTTTTTGCTATGGGACACTTGCACTCATCAGAGAGAGAGAGACAATGAGAGGGAAAGTCAGAAATCACCCCCCTGGGGAGATGGTCACACTGCAATCCCTTCTCCTCCATTCTCCTCCTGGCATGATTTTTCAAACTGCCAAGTCTGGGACTCAAACCACAGCCAACCATGTGGAAGTCCAACATCTTAACCACCACGCTACCTGCTGGCCGAATAGACTATATCCTTAATAATATAATAGCTTTACAAGGTATATGTGTATAAAGTGGATGTGGCAGGTCTTTAAAATAAGCTTTGTTCAGAAGTATAAAGAATACCACAGAAGCTCTAATTCAATGAAGGCAATTCTATGGGAATATTAACACAATGGGGTCTGAGTATAAGTAACCTTTTTGGGATCAGGACAAAGAGAAGTATGAGACAGGCCCTATGTCCTTGTTTGCTACTCTCCGGAGGCATGGCAGAGTGTTTTGAAATTCTAGTGCAGTGGTAGGTGGAGGGAGAGGACATGACCACAGTAGCTATTCCATGTGCACTGTTTACTCTGCTAAAACCCTGCTGGTTCTTGGAATGCCCAATCCACATTCAGTTACTGCTAGTCAACGACAGTAACTGGTTATTCTGGGTCATCTAGTGATCCTGTGCACCTACGTGAAAAACCTTCTTTTTCCCCCATTAGTCAAATTAGGCGCAAGCTGTTAACACTGTAGTTCAAGTGGTCTTTATTTGTGGTTGCAAAATGAGAGGTCCCGTCCTCAAGCCTCATGCATCACCATTTGATATGTGTTGTTCTGAGACCTGCTACTGCTCAGTAACATACCATGCTCAATGTGCTAAATTCAAGAGTGTCGTTGGGTCCACCCTTCATTACCAGCCTGATTTGTGTTTTTGTCCCTTGCAAACAAGAAGTAGAGAATTGTAGCAATTTCTATTTGGATGATGCCACATCCTTGCTCAAGTGCATGTGGCCATCTGTCATGGTTATACCAGAGGCCAAAGTCCAAGGTGACTGTAATTGAAACAGTGTTCAGTCATGGACACTGAGGGGTGCTCATGGAGGCACAGAACGCATGGATAATAGAATTCTGTCTCAATAACTTCTTAAGAAAAGCCATTTGGAAAGAGTATCCATTTTTAACCAGTAGGAGATGAATTAACTAATTTGGAGTTGGTTTCTATTACATTGTTTCAAGGAGGTGGTTAGAAAAAACTTGAGTCAGTGTTAGAAATGCTGAAAGATTAGTTAATGGCTCAGATGAGTACTCTTTGGATATGTTGGAACTAATTCTAGAGGAGCAGCATGGAAGTCACAATGTTGCCATTTGAAAAAGAAAAGCATAAGTACATATACAGCTACATTCTCTGAAAGTATAGAGGATTATGTTATAGGTAACTAACAAAATTTGAATAGCTAGTTGTTAATATCTCTAAGCCTAGATATCGTGCAGTCTTTTGTGAAATAAATATGTAGGCTCTTTCATGTAGTGTCATGGCAGTTAAATTTACCATCAGTTACGCAGATGTGGCTCCATAATAGGCTGCTCTAATCTGTCTCCCAGTGCTGCATTTTGGTATCTCTTGCTAAATACAGATAAGAGTTAAGTGTTCTTTGTTCCTCTTTTTCCCCCATCCAAATATTTTTCCTTCTAAATTTATTTTCACATTTATTACAGAAGAAAAGCAATGGAGCACCAAATGGATTTTATGCAGAAATTGACTGGGAAAGATATGTGAGTATCAAATGACTGTTTTATTTATTATTTCACAACTTAAAAATGAGTTGAAACATTCTCATATTTATAATAGAACATAGAAGTAAGTGAAATACTATCCAGCTCATTAGAAAGTGCTTTGCACATTTAGAATGGTGTAAAAGTTAAGAACACTAGAGTCTGGGTTCAAGACCTAGTCCCTCCATGTATTAACTATGTATGCCCTTGGAATTTTTATTTTCTGACCAGCAAAAATAAAGTCAGTAATTACCTTAGATTATTGTTGCAAGGATGCAACAAGCTAATTATTTGCAGACTATTTTAGTAGCCTGCTTATCCTGTGGTATGTGCATTCAAAAAATACTTTTTCTAAGATTAACTGGGTATATCAGTCTTGGTTCTATTTCTAAGGAGCTTTGGGAATCAACACAAGTCAATTAACCTCTGAACCTTGGTTTCATAATAATGAAAATAGCCTCGTGGTCCAGATTTTTTTCCAAGCCAAATGACAATCACTTGTTGCTTCTTGGGGAGTGAGGATGATCCCGCTGAGATCTAAACTCTCTCCATAATTCTTCACCGCCACCATATACTCTTCCAACCACAACAGAACAGCCTGTCAGAGCCAGCCAGAATCATTCTTAGATTTCTAATCATATAAAATATACATCATATTTGTATCGAAGGTCATTTCTACCGCACAGTAAGTGCCCAAATTCATAATCCCCGCAAAATGCCTTTATCTTATCCTTTAGGTGACTATTCTGGCTCAATCTCCCCTTTCCTAAAAGCTGAGTGTAATGTAAATTATAGTTTTTGCATATTTTTAAATAGGAATTTTATTTTTCAAATAAACACTACTACCATCTATCAAATATTCCCCGATTGCCCTGTCTTACTTTTCTATATTATTTAATGCTGTTAAATCCTTACCACCTTAAAAGACAAATACTGCATTTCTTTTTAGGGTTTTTGCCATAGGGCACGCATGCTCACAGGAGAGACAGTGAGAGGGAAAGTAAGAAATCATCCCCCCCAGGGGGATGACTAGGCCACAGTCCCTTCTCCTCCATTCTAATTCTGGATTTGGGGCATGCACAGCTTGGCAGGATTTTCAAGCTGCCAGGTCTGGGACTCAAACCACTGTCGGCCATGTGAGCATCCAGCACCTTAACCACCATGCCCCGCTACTGGTCCCAGTTCCTACATTTTAAAGAAAACTGAGGTTTAAAGAGGTTAAATTCTTCCTACTTCCCACCCCTACACTCAAAAATATGTTCCTCTTCCAACTTGCCGCCTGGTCCTCTCATATCTGCTTCCCAAGATTAAGATACTTCTTATTTAAGTCATTCAGTTCCCTGGAATGTATGACAGTCCCTTTGTTACCCTGAATCCAAATTGTTCACAAAGAACATTATAAGGGAAGCAACTAGATATTGAGGAACAAAGAGTAGTTTCTTTCCCCAGAGTACATTTTTAAAAATTTTAGTGGAGTTTAATTGATCAAATCTTAACACAACTCGAATCCCAGAATTAATTATTTTTCACCTAAAATAAGTTGTTCTATTTTGTAGGATTCTTTAATACACAAGAGTGTTACACTCTAAGATGATAGAGAAGTATAATCATTAAAATACGTAATTACGTGTCAGGTAATACATATTACCTCCCATCTAACACGCAACCCTAAAATCTCGTGTTGTCCCTGGCCAGCACTTGAGTATTAAGGGAAGTAGGCTTTCCCTCAAGTGGTTTAGTTCTAAAATACTCATCTGATCACACAGGAATTGCTGTTGTAAGTAACATTAACACCACACCCATCTCTCTAAGTGATAGGAAGGATCTTTATTCTAAGTAGATTATACCATCTTGATTTTTGTAGTCGAGGCCTGGGGAGGGTGTCACCTCTGAGCCAAGGCTTGTGGGATAAGGAGAGGTTAACTTGCTGAGCATTCGATGGAGGAGAAGAGTAGGCAGAGGGAACAACATTTCGTGAGGCCCCTGAAATGAGAAAGTTCTTGAGGTACTTTCAGGTTATAAAAGTTAACAATAGACTGAGAGGGATGGGGAAGAGAATCAGAAGACAGGAGGCAGAAGAGAGGGCCGGGAGCATGATTACGCAGGGCCTTGTTGGCTACACAAGGAATTAGCCTTTTTTTTTTTTTTCCTTCAAAGTTCACAACATACAAAGAATTTATGCAACACAGACCTTTTTCACGGGTAGTTCACAAATTTCACACAGCAATCTATTAGAAAAGTGGAATTACACACCAACATAGCATTGTTTCCTAGTACGAATCTCTGGTCTACAGGGAGGTGGAGCTCGTTTAATACCAAGTAGAAGGTGACATGGGTGTTGCTTAAGACAGCACCTGATAGACTCTGTTGTCCAACCTGAATCAGGGAGGAGTGTCCCAGCGGCAGGTCTGCCTTAATGCACAGCATGGCTGAACCTCAGGGTGAGCTTCGGTACTTGAATTTACTTAAAAAGAAACACAAAGGTGGTAAGACCAAGAGCACACCCATCATTTCACTGGCCTTGGAGTCTGCGTACCCCAGGGAGCTGAGGACAGGTTTTTAGCCAGGAAACAACTTCAGTACACATGCATTAAAAAAAAAAAAAAGAATAAAGAGATTGAAGTACTAAAAAACAATAACAATAAATACTCAAAAGATGATGCCTTTCACATACAGAAAGAAAAAAAATACTGTATGGGTTCACTTATATGCAGAATCTTTTTTTTTTTTTTTTAAATCAAATAAACAGAAATAGAGTAAAAGAGTAGTAACCAAGGCAGGGAGAAAGAGGCAATGGGAGAGGTAGGTTGAAGGGTACGAACTGACCATGAGGAAAGATGAGTGGGTCTAGAGACCTGATGTATTGCATGTGCTCTGTAGTTCCTCATTGTGTATGGCAGACCGAAAAGTTGCTAAGAATAGAATTTAGGTGCTCCTACACACACACACACACACACACACACACCTATGGAAGGAAGTTGGCGGAAGTGTCCATTTGACAGTAATGATCGTTTCATTAAGCATATAAACATCATGTTCTATAGCTTCGATATACACAATAAAAAATACATTTTAAGAACGATGGCTTTTCTCACAGCATTCACAGTCTGCTCTCTCTCCACGGTCATGGCATTTATATTGCTTTAATGACTCCCAATACTCCCTCTCTAACGTACCCTTGCTCATAGCCAAGCCTATAACCTCACCTTCAACAGGGTTATCCTTGAACTCGTCATCTTCCTCCTTTCGAGGGCATATATCTCAAAATGCCTGGGGTCAAAGCTCAGGTCTGTCATTTTGCTGAGTATGTTTCCTTGAGAAATGGCATCAGATTGTACTTGTTTCCTCTCCGTGTGTGACATGTCATTCAATGGGTTAAAGTACAGGTCACAACACTTATCATATAATAGGAACTCAAGTGTGAAAATACTAACTGCAACAGGGCAGACAGCCTTTTTTATCTTTCCTGCCTTTCCCCTGCACATATGAGCTGTCTGCTGTTAGAATTAGCTCACCTAGGAGTATCAGCAGTCGCTCAGGACTTGGGCACAGAAATCTTGGGGTCATCCCTCTCCTTGTTCTCCTAAGACTGATCTATTACCAAGAACTAATAATCGGTCATTTCAAATGTCTTTGATTCATCCCAACCCACCACCAACAGCTTGATCCATAGTGTCAGCACATCTTGCTTAGATTAATGCACATTATTTTAAATTAGTTTTCCTTTCTCTGTTTTCTTCTGCCCTCAATCTATTCTAAAACATTCTTCTATTTATTTATTTTTTTTTTTTTGGAGAGGTTTTTCACTATAGGGCACGTGTGCTCACCAGACAGACAGAGAGAGACATAGAGACAGAAAGCGAGAAATCACCCCCTGGGGGGATGGCCATGCCGCAATCCCTTCTCCTCCATTCTCCTCTCGGGATCTTGGGCACGCGCGCACACGTGCCCGGCGTGAGTTTAAGCCACCGGGTCTGGGACGCGAACCGCTGTCGACTACGTGAGAGTCCAGCGACATAGCCATTACGCTAACTGCTGGTTCCCGTGAAACATTCTTCTAGAACACTTTAAAATTCAGCTTTCAGTCTGCCCTACCTGAGTGAGAAGCCACAATCGTTCCAAGTCCAAACTCTTCCTCTCGCACACTGGACATGCGTAACCGCTTCTTTTCCCAGGCCCGCCATCTTTGTTGTTGCCGCTTCTCTTCCCCATCTGAATCCTACAGCGACAATTCTGCCTCAATGTCTCAGGACAAGCTCATTCCCGCCACCTACAGCAGACTCCCACTCTGCTCTCTCCTCTCTGTACTGAAAAGTCCTGATCCTTTTAACTTCACCAATGTCTCCTTTCTTTGAACTCCTAACATCCGTGTTTTGTGTTTTATATTTAAATTTTTGCCTACTAAAATACACTTCACTTTCCCTGAGCACAGATCATTTGCATTTTATATTTCCTATGTTGCTTAGCAGAGTCCTTGGCTTACAAGAAATGCATGATAAATCCTTTTTGAATGCTTTCTTTCATTAACAGTTCATTCCTCGTCTATTTTCTCAACAGGAGGACTCTCCAAGTATCCTTGAGCAAATATCTAAACAGATGCTGCTCAGCATTCCCTTCCCAAAGTTAAACATTTAGCCTCCGAAACTAGAGTATCTAATCTTTAAACGGAAAACTGTAGAAGGAAAATGAATAAACCCTTGATCATCAACCAGATAATAATCGCTTAATATGTGCTTGTAATTCATAGAACTCACCCGAGCTGGATGAAGAAGGCTACAGCATCAGACCTGAGGAACCCGGCTATATCCTTCCTTTCTTTTTCTTTTCTTTTTTTTTTTTTTTCATAAATTTATTCTCTCTCAGAAAACAATAAAGTAAACTCAGGTTTTACAAAGGTAATGAGATAACCTTAGCTGCCTCATATCCATGCTTATTGTTACAGATGAATAAACAGCTCAGAGAATAGTCTGATCACGAATAGGCAGGCATTTTTGTTTTGATCTATTCATAGAAAAGAGAGAGAGAGAAGAAAGAAAAATGTGTTAAAAAATGGTTGTGTAAATTGTGGGTGCTGGATGGTCTGCTAGAACTTGAATGACTATGTTATCTGTAATGGCAAAAATAGCTCTTACCCTGGGCAAAGCCAGTCATGCTCTGAAGTACAACTTAAAATTTATCACAGATGGGGACCAGAAGTTAGTGTAGTGACTATGTCGCTGGACTCCCATGTAGCCAACTGTGGTTCGAGTCCTGGACCTGGTGGCTTAAACTCACGCCAGGCGTGTGTGCATGTGTGCCCAAGATCCTGAGAGGAGAACGAAGGAGAAGGGATTGCGGTGTGGCCATCTCCCCTGGGGGGTGATTTCTCCCTTTCTGTCTCTCTGTCTCTCTCTGTCTTTCTGGCGAGCGTACGTGCTCTATAGCAAAAACCTCTCAAAAAAAAAAAAAAAAAAGATCACAGATGGTCCATAAAGGAGCCTTCCTCTCTCCACTGACAGGTAAGCTCACGTGCCTACGCGTGTCCTGAGTGTGATGTAGCAAATGGCCAACTGCAGCAAGACAGTAAAACTGTTGCTCTTTAAAATTCACCATCCTTGATCATGCTTTGAGTAAAAGTAAATGCATTCTAGGCCTTTTCTCTTGTATTTTTGTTTGCTCTGCTTTGACTTTCTGCCACCTATGCTATCTCCATGTGCAATCACTCTCGTCTTATACTCATTATTACCTCCCTGTAGAAGAGTTACGTATCTTTAACTGTGTTCTACCTACCAAAGGAAAGCACTTTTATTCTTCGAGTGAATCAGAAGAGGAAGAAGAATCACACAAGAAATTTAATATCAAGATTAAACCATTGCAATCGAAAGACATTCTTAAGAATGCCGCAACTGTAGATGAACTGAAGGCTTCCATAGGTCACATTGCACTGTCCCCTTCGCCAGTGGTGAGTGGGTTTTCATGTTAAGTCTCCGTGAGGTTGGACGGGGGAGGGAGGGAGGCTGGGTTCTGCCCACATGCTTTAAGCTGGTCTGGAGTCCCTTCAGTTGGAAGCTGAATACGGTCATCCTTTTATGAATGCTGTAAACGTTTTCAGAAGCTCATTGTAGCTTAAGAGAGTTTTATTCATTTTACAGCATTCTTGTCTTTTTCAATATGGTAAAAACGCATGGAACCACATTTCCTTTTTACTTGTTTTCCTGCACCTATTTTTAAAAGAAAGAAAGAAAAGAAAAAAATGATCCAAATTTATTTTCTAAGCAGACTTAGCAGTTAAAAACATGAAATTCATAGTACGAACGACTTATTTTTAAAACACATCTTAGTTTCCTTTTTTTATGACATAGCACATAAAAATACATGGAAGGAAAAACCAAGGAAGTTGTATTTTTCAAAAAAATTTCACTGCTATACTCTAGAAGGACATGTTCATCAAAATCATAATCTAAATAGATGTTAAAACTCATATTCTTCATTATATTATCAAATTATTTTAAATACACTCATCTTTTTGTTGCCTCCAATACAGATATTGTCCTACTAATATTATTCAAATGGGTATTTTCCCACCATTTGTGCTTCCTTTCCACAATTCCTACCTATTAAATTTCTTTAATTGCTGCATTTTGAGTTCTAACATTTACAGTAATTTCTCTGTGTGTTTGATAAATGCCACTATTGTTTTCTAAAAATAGCTGTGAAGAGCAGATGAAGGCTCTCAAACTAACAGCTAATGTGTTCTCGGCATCTCTTTAGAGAGATGTGATATCCCCATCGCATTTTCTCTGAACAGGGTGGTTAATAAATGCTGAACAATTTTGAGATGTTTCTGGAAATATCTCAACTAATCTTTCTAAAGGAGTTGTAATCATGCATCCTTTGAGAATAAATACAGTCTATAATGATGACTTCTTCAGTACTTAGTGCTTCTAATGGCCTTTATCAGTAATGATGGTGACAATTAAAATGATGGTTAATAGTACCAAACCATAGCAAATGTTATTTCAGGTGATTTTTATTCATAAACTCTCCTGCTACCTTAAGATGCCTTCTTAAAAAAGGAAGGCATGAAATAGGTTGTTTTTTTTGTTTTGTTTTGTTTTTGTTTTTACCTTCTTCAATGGAAAGTACAGGTTTTAAACTCACATATTGGCCTGTGATTTCTAATGGGATATCTTAAATACATGTACTTTCACTTTTTAGTTGATACCTTTCAGATCTTTTTTTCACTCACTAGGTCATTTTTTAAAAATTTAAAAAACATATTCAAACGCCTGAAACCAATTTATATGTACTTTTCTTTAGGGTGTAATAAACTTAGTGGGCATTTGGAAGCTACCTGAGGCCAGTGAAAGAAGGCAAGTTCATGAGATTAAATGAATACATTTACATGAAAACAAGCTTACTAGAATAGTCCCAGAAACACAGTATTAATCCATATTTGCTAAAAGCTAGTCGAATCTGGGAAAAATTCCCTACATGGGAATCTAAAGGAGATTCCCTACATGTGTTTTTCATAAAAAAAAATATGTGTGCCTGAGTATTCTGGAAGATTGTTCTCCATGCTCTGAGCTCCTCTAGCCATCTGTTTTTAAGGTAATACCTTGACATAATGTGGTTAAGACTAATGAAAAAGATTAGGGAAACAGTGAAAACTGGACGAAGACTTCCAGGGCAAGTAAGCTTGGAGCGAGGCTGTTTCTGTGTATCAGCAAATGTGAGATCCTCTCACGTTATCTGTTGCCTTTAATGTGAGAATCTGGCTCCTCCATACCTGCTGTATAGGGCTGTTTTGAGGGTTGAATGAGTTAGTGTATGTAAACTATTCAGAATAGGTACTACATTTAGAGATTACCTTGCTATTGTTAGAATCGTCTGCAGAGCTTTGGACAGTTTCCAAGAATATCATTAATACTGATAAATCAGGTAAACCAACTAGGCAGAAGTGTTCTAGAACCAAGCTAGTAATTCATTACTCCAAGCATCAAACTGGGAAAATGTATGAACTTTTTTGTGATGCCTATGAACTAGTTTTGGAGATAATTCCAGAAGATCCCTAAGGGGTTCTGAGTAGCATCAACATCCCCTGAATAAGTAGGTGCTTCGGCAGGAGACTATTGAAGGCTATTACTCGCAATGACGTACTCTTACCGTGCATGTGCATCAGATTTGTTTCATAGAGAGCTGACTTTGTTTCCTACCCTACCCCCTTTGAATCATTTTGCCAAGTATTTATTGAGCACCCCGCACAGAGGACAGATAATTTGCATTTCACATTCCTAGTATCATAAATATTGAACAGTCTGTCCAACCCTCTTGCTAACACTGCCTACAAAGTCATCAGAAAGCAACACACAACCAGTGTGGCCAGCAGCACACGAAAGCTGAGATGCTCCCTACGGTCCCAACTCCTTCCTATCTTCACTTCCCTTTTCTGACTGAAGCTATAGTCTTCCATATCTCCACTTCAGGATCTCTTGGCTTCTTCACCCCTCTCAGGTCTCAGATGTGAACCCCTCCATTGCTTCCAGAACCAAAATGAAGCGCTGTCTCTGACACGTCTGTGCTGACTAGATACTTTGAAACCTGTGGCTCCCATAGTTTTCATGGAAGTGAGGAGACGAAGGTTATTTATGGTTTAACTCTCGGTGCAATCTTGGTTTTCTCTCGTGTGCAGCCATTAATTCCTTTACTTTGTTCTTTGGTCAGCCAAGAATCAGTGGTGCCCTACCTTAAGAAATTGTCTTTTAATTACTAATGTTTAGTTCTGAATTAAACATTCAAAATTTTGTTCTAGAATAAATCAGAAATAAATCTGTATTCTGGCGCTGCCCTCATTATGCATGTGACTCCCAGCAAGTTACTTAACTCTACAAGCCACCAACAAGGCTTTCTCAAATGTAAAATGAGGTTATTACCACCCACCTCTTAGGATTCCTGTAAGGATTAAGGAAGTAATGCACATAAAAAGTGCTTTCTACTTTGAAAGTAAATTTATGTAAGTAAGGCCCAAAGGAGGTGCTTAGTAATGATAGCGATTGTTAAGAGAATAGAGTGACTCACAGTGACTATACTCAGTCACCTTGAAGGTCACAGACCACTTTGAGAATTTATGCAGGTGGTGATGGTGGTGGTGGCAGCTGCAAAACCTTGAATGCTGACTTACATGAGATGTCTCCCGTTCATGAGCTCACCTTCACAGCACCCCAAGAGATAGATACTATTATTATCCCCACTTTACAAAGGAGAAAATTGAGACATTATGGGATTAATCAACTCACCCAAGGTGTCACAGCTAATAAGCAAAGTTACTGGGATTTACACTTAGAAAGTGCAGTTTCTAACTCTGAACGGTTAATGACTATATTATACCTCTTTTGATCAAAGCTAGGGGATCTTCTGTGAGGGTGGGAGAAGTTCATTAGCTTATCTCAAACATTTTACATACAACTTCTGAATACTTACAAACCCTTTGAAGGCAAGATCCCAGCCCAGAAACCCACCCCCTAGGCTGCCTTCCCAGTGAGTCAGTCTACAGACACTCCCTCCATGACGGTGCTTCCTGTGTCAGTACCACGTGATTAGGTAGCAAGGCTGAGCTTGTCAGAACAGACTTAAACACTGCTGTGTCATTTCTGATTTCTGATTGATTAAAAATACTCATTTTATATTCAAACTTTATGCACCTTTGCTTTAAATGTTAAGATATGACAGCTTGTTTTATGACTCATAGATTTTAACCTCCCTAAGCAATTGAGCAGCAAGTACTTTTATGTCAATGGCACATTTAACAATATTTTACAGTTTATAAATGTCCAGTCATGATCAAAAGGATGAGCAGCAGCACTATCAAAGAGGCAGAGAGGTGGTGAGAGCCTGGTTTTACAGAGAAACCATACAGAAGGATCCAGAAGCTGCTGGAGGTTTAAGGGCCAGGACTCCAACTATGGGTCCACCTTTTTTCCACATAATTAAAAGTACAATGTGTGTTGTCATCTACAAAGTAAGGGGTAGTATGACTTAGTTATCTTTAAGATCCAGCCCAGCTTTAATTCTGTGCTGTGTCTCCTGGCCTAATAGGAGCTGTAAGAAGCTCTCTTTTTCAGGGCAGTGTGGGTATCTAGCGAGGGAACCAAGAAAGAATATTTCTTTTGACGCACAAGGGTAAGTAGGAAGAACACGGGCATTTAGTCTGTATGTTGCTATCTCTGGTCCATGGTTAAGTCTTTTAATGCTGTGTCTCCGATCCCAGGTCTGTAAAATGGTAACAGTCATGTCTACCCTTTTGGGGACAATGTCACAATAAGGTCATGTAAAATGCCCAACTCAGTGCTTGTTACCCAGGAAAGACTCTACTAAATATCAATTCCTCTTTCAGTTTGCTTTCCTTTTCCTTAAGTTGAGAGACTTGTGGGAGGCAGAAGGAAAATAAAAATAGTGAAGGAGGACTTAAAAATCAAAGAAAAGGACTGATAGAAATTACAGGAGAGTAGGAGTCAGCCTCTCCTGACATGTAGGCTAGTGCCGCCTCTCCATCTCCTGCAAAATTCAGTGATAGAAAAAAATGAAAGACTTTGACATTGACTTATGAAGGAGCAATTACTTTCATCTACTTTGTGAAGATTTGTGATCTATAATGGAGTTATTTATCCAAAAAATAAAAATATGAGGAAGAGGCGATAGCTTGAAACTAGAGACAGTCTGGTGCTGTTTGCCTATTCCAGGTGGCCCACCCACCTTCCTCCCCCCAAATTAGCCTGCCAGAGAGCAAAATCCATGAATTTGCTGCTGCTTGGTAACACCACCCCCTTCCCTGTCCTCACTTTGGCAGAAGGTTCAGCACCCCATTGAGTTCAGTAAAACAAAGAGTCATCAGAGGGGGAGGAGAGCTTTAGTCTCCTACACACAAGCATTCTCTCCTGGTACAAACACTGCAAGAGGAGGGTAAAGATTTGCATGCATTGGGGGCTCAGTGCTCAGCCCAGATCTTAAATGCAGAGAACTGGAAGGCAGAGGTTCAGCTTGAGTTCTGTTCATCTCAGAAAGCTTCACAGGACAAACATGATTTGAGCTGGTCTAGACCAAGGATATCAAACTTGTGACATACATCATCAAAAAGTTGATGGAAAATATGTATTATGAAAAAAAAAATACATGGATCTCAATGTTTTTTGTATTAAAATAAATTCATACTTTAATCCCATTTCTTCATGAACTTTTTGAAGTCCTGTCATGTAAGCTGCCACTACTCCCCTACAAACCCTGAGCAGATATGGAAACTAGCTCCCAGGTGTTGTCTGAGAGCTGCAGGCAACTCCACTAAAATCAGCTACAGTTAACATGTAAGATGAGCATTACTTTTCAGGATTTAGGAAGAAAGATAAATGGGAAAATGGGTGAGAACTTCCTTTGGCATAATGTATTGTTCTCTTTTCTACATTGTAAGCCATAGACTCTGTAATATGTTCCTTCTTCCTTTCCTTAGTAACTTTGTTTTTGTTTTTGTTATTGGAGTTACGTGCTCACGGTGGTGGGGGAAGAGCTGGGGGGAAAAAGGGGAAAGTAAGAAATTACTCCTGGGGGAATGGCTACCCCGTAATCCCTTCTCCTCCATTCTCCTTCTGGGATTTTGGGCATGCATGCACTAGTACCCAGTGTGTATTCAAGCCCCTGGTCCAGACTCAAACTGAGCAGTCAGCCATGTGGGATTTATCTTCCTTATCTACCATGCCACCATACAACCCATTACTAAATTTTTTTTCCTAGAGAGTTCTCTGTTGCTTCTATTTCCTGCTCTTTGTAATGAAAATATTTTCTACAGCTGTTATGCCCACTCTAACCTGAAATGAAGAAATTTCTAAGCTGTGTATTTTGATCTCCTTGAAAGGTAGCCTAATACTTACTATTCAGCCTGGAGCGCCTTTGTCATTACTTCTCTAACTAGCATTGGTTGTACCTGCTGAGTATAAGGTATTTGCTTCCCTTAAACATAACTCAGTGTTAAATATTGCTTATTTCTAGCCCCTCATGCAAAAATATAGTCTTCAACAACCTCTAACTTGGATGAATACTTGGCATTACCCAAGTTACTTGGTGTAATCGCAGCCAGATTCTCTACCTGTAACAGGCAAGGGTCTGTGAGTCCCTCAGAAAGCTGTTAACCATAAATACAAGATGCCTGTCTACAGGCTTACAGGTTGAGAATTGTGTTTTCTTAGCCCGAGGGACAGGAAAATCCCAGGACCTAGACATCACTCAACAGTAATATTTTTAGTACATGTTTTGTCCAATCTGAAAATTTTCTTATTTATATATATTTTTACAAGTAAGCCCGAAGGCATATGTCTCTTTCCTGGTTTTCTTATTTATCTCTTTATAATTAAAAATCAAGTCTGATACTATTAGCTCAGTTTAAATCAAGAAATAGCTTTATTTCTCTAAACAGAATTGTCATATTTTGGGTTTTTTTTTTTTTTCATTTTTTTTTAAACATTCAAAAGAAACCTTTTAGTCAAGAGGCCATAGCCTAGTTATTGGTAGCTGCCAACAAAGCAAAACAGCTGTTGAATAAAGATGGTTGAACATTTGGGGCCAGGAGATTGCATAGTGATTATTTCGATAGACTCCCACATGGCCAACAGCCTTTGAGTCCCAGACCTGGTATCTTGAAAATCACACGGGGCATGTGTGTGTGTGCATGCCCAAGATCCTGGGAAAAGAATGGGGAAAAGACTTTGCCATGGCCATCCCTCTGGAGGAGTGATTTCTCACTTTTCCTCTCACTGTCTCTGTCTCTCTCCTGTGAGCACATGCACCCTAAGGCAAAAATCTCTAAGAGAATTATTGAACACATCATGTCGCCTGAGATATAAAGGTAGAGGAAGGAGGTAAAGGTAGCCCTTGTCATTTATATGTTCATGTGTATTCTTCTGATTTCTAATTAATAAAATGAATTTAATTCTAAAAAAGACTGAGCAATTTACCTTATTAATCAGAGTTTAATCCCAAGCACTAAATCCATGCCTAGAAATATAAGCTTTCTCTTTGAGAAGTTCATTCTCTGAGATCTGCTAGTGTGATCTATTTCATTCCTATCACTAGAAAAACCCAAGATTAGTCTGAGATTTTGTGATCTGTCCTCACAAAATTAGCTCTGTTGTTGCTAAATCCCAATGTTGATAAGGCCCCAAGAGTGACTTTAGTCTTCTTAAGGGGCCTGGCTATGCCAAGAGCCTTAATCAGGCTTGCTGTAGTTAGACAGTCTGGGATCCAGTCTCAGCTCTGCTCCTTAGTAACCATGTGACCTTGGAACTTCCGTAAGCCTCCTTTTTGTTGTCTCTATTGGTAAATTAGAGATAATGACACCAATCACTGTAAAGCAGTAGTAAATTCTCACTAAATGAGAGTTGTCAATATAGTCCTTGTCTTTTAATCCTCACAATAATTCTACAAAGAAGCAGTTATTCCTGCTTTACAAGAGGTAATTTGAATAGATAAAAGGTCATACTTCTCTCTCTACCCTGACAACCCCTTTAGAGATATTTGATTTTAACCCAGATATTCTTTTTGTCTATAAATTAGGAACCTGAACTTTGTGGATAGTTATTTCTTTGTGTTATTTATAAAAAGTCTGGGTATAAAAGGGGCAACAAGAGTGTCCCAATGACCTCTCTTAGCCCTCAGCTACTGAAGTACTAGTTTTTATTATAAGAGAAAAATCCCACCCTGAAATATAATCACCTAACTCTACAGTAATGTGTGTGCAAAGCCATGCCACTTCCTTGGAACCTTTGTATTGCGTGTTAGCACCTGAGGTCACAACGGGCAGAGAATTTAATAGTTAAGTTGGAGCTAGGAGACATATTTGTAGGAACAAATGACAAAAAACTTTATAACTGGGGCCGCATATCCTAGGCCATATACGATTCAGCCTTATTGCAGAGAACAATTGATCTTTCCACATTTCAAGACACCACGCTTCAAACATCTATAAAATGTTTTAATGACCCACAAAAATAGAATTTGTAACTTGCTTTGAGTGCCTACTAGGTGCCTACCACTATTTGGATTAGGGAAAGTGAGTCCATTCATAAGCATTACTATTGGGTCATCAAGAAAGTCATGATGCATTTTTGTATAGAAAAACATAGAAAAATATAGCATGACTTTCCTAACAAACAAATATGAGCCAATAATCAAAATGGAGAACTCTAAATGATATAGGAGATAAAAGGACGGCAAAAAATATACTAGCACTGTGTACCTTTGTTTTCTCCGGGGCTGATAAATGCCAAGCAAAAACAAAGGCCTTCAATATGAATTATTTCAAACTAAAGGAATACGCCACGCTCACACAAGAGAAGGGAACAATTCGTTCTGAAGGAGAAGCTTGGGAGAGGGCTCCTGGAAGAAATGTTACTGGCCTTGAGGAATGAGTCAGATACTGACTAGGGGGAGCCATCAAAGGCTGAAGAAGCAACATAAGCAGAAGTCAGGGAAGCTTGTGAGTGCCAGGCAGGGGTGGCGAGGAGAGTCTATAGAAAAGTTCAGGCTTCATAGAAAGGCTGTAGCAGATGGTGGAGAAGCTGCTGGAGTGCAGCATGAAGGTATTAACTGCCTCAGGACAGTGTGCATTCTGTTTTCTGGAGAGCAGGGGTAATTTGAAGGGAAGGATGATATATTTGACTCAGTATTATTGGAAAATGATTTGGGGGCATGTGAAGGAAGGATTAGGAGGTGACACAGGGAATAGGACCATCGATAGAAAGCACGTGGAGGAGGCTCATGGAGTATTACTGTCAGTGCTCACAAAGATGGTTGCTAAGGAAACGAAAGTGCATTCTGAGGGTCCACGGACCACTCACCAGGTAAAGAATTTGTAATTATTCACAGAGTGTCAGGAGAAATGAAAGATAAGATCAAAGAAAAACAGTGGTTCTAGCCAGGGTGATGAGAGAAGATGATAGGTGTCAGGTGCCCTGGCAAAATGGGAGTTTCTGGAAAACCTTGTTTTAGTGTCATGGCCAAGCCTGGCTATAATGCATTAATGGTATTTTCCAGTTCCTATACAAGGCCTAATTTTCTATTTTTAAGGCACGAATCTGCTAAAAGTACACCATTGAAAAGAAAGCATAGAACATTCTCAGATGGAAGCCACACCTGTGCCCTCTGTAGCCCGCACTAACAACAGTAACTCAGAAATGACCATATCAGTCACCCTTGGGAAGCATTTATAAAAGCGGTGTCTTCGGAGTTGCCTTAACTAAGGTTATTCTGAGCCTAGAACTATTTCTTCTTAAAAATACATCTCGCCTCTCTCATTTTCTCTTTATTTTTTCCTCCCCATGCCTACGCTTTTAGAGGAAAAGTCCGGTAAGAAACAAGTCCTTTCGAAGTCCTTTCCTTGTTTTGGCAAAACATTATTTATTCCGTTCATTTTCACTGTCTGCATATCTAACAACTGACTATGTTTAGCACCTAAACAAGGTTTTGCATTTTAAAAACAAACTTGTGTGAACCAGTACAAGATCTAATTATGCCACAGGGGGGAAAAAGGAAGTTGGTTGCTAAGTGACTACAAACCCTGCTATTAAGGGCCCCAGAGTAATTTTGTAGATTCACCTCTGCCACAATCACAGGCATACGATCAAATATTATTTTAGGTACCAAATTTCACTTCTGGCAGCTTCCACTTGAATCAAACCATGAACTAGGCAAGCAGTTTTTCAAGTTAATTTTATTTAATGTACTTCATGGCAGCATCTGAATGCTTGCAAAGCTGGCCTGGGAAAGGGGTTGTGAGAAGGTTTATTGGAGGCGGAGGGTGTTTTTGTTTTAGTAAATCAAAACGTCATATCCTGAAATGGTCAGATACTGGAAAAAGAGGATTTTTTTTAAATAAAATAGAAATCATCTCCTGGTGGTTACTTTTTAGAACCAGGGAAAAATTTTTAGTGGCAGCGCAAAGCTGATGTGATAAACCTACATCTTTTCATTTTAGAGCAACATGGAAATGATTTTTAAAAATTATTTTTTTTTCTTGTTTGCCTTGTTTATTGAAAACATGTTTCCAGGATGCCAGTAAGTGGCTGACATGGGTGACCGCATCACTAAAACATGAAAATATTGTTAGCAAGCACCGAGAAGCGTGTTTGTTCTATTTCACTCATCTAAACGCACGCTGCAACGTACGTTAGCCTCTTATCCTGCCCCAGTGACCCAACCCTGACCGTCTACACTGCCTGTAGAAAGTCCAGGTGACAGGAGGGAGGAGGAAGGGAAGGAACAGGAAGAACAAAACCTGGGATCCAACTATGAAATATCAAAATTGATCAAAATGTGGGCCAAAGTCTTCTTGTTTCCAAAAAAGATGATGACTACTCTGCTGAATGGCCTTCTGAGTAATTCAGAGTCAACTATGAAAGTATATTTTAAAGTTCATGGAAAAGACTGGCATTTAAGTGGGTTTATTTCAGTGTATAACATTTCAAAATCCAGACCTAGTTGTTTCATAACACGTTTTTTCCATGAACTTTTTGAAGGACCCTCTTCCCCCACGTATCACATGCTGTATAGCAGCATAGTGTTGCTGGTGCTCTCTAGTAACTGTTTCTTACATTTTGCCAATTAAATTTATTCTTCTTGACCGTGAGTTTTGATCTGAATTAACCAAATTTGACCACTTCAGATATCGCAAGGACTGTGTGTTCTGATGTTTGCCTGTAGTAAGTGCTTCTTGCCCTTCTGCTATCTGTACAGCAGTTTTAAATACAAGTACACATTTTCTCTTTCAGTTGTGTGTCTTCAAGGACGCGTCTTTTCCTCCTCCCTTGCATCCTTTTTCCTTTGGAAAGATCCATCTTGTTGATTTTTTTCAGCGTTCTACTCTGTTTTCTTGCTAATAACAGAAAACAGTTGGGTCTGGGTCATTTAAAGAGAATAGAGGTTCATTCAGCTCAGGGTTCAGAGGTCCGAGGTCCAGAGGCCACATCTGGTGAAGGTCTTCTTGCTGGTGAATAACATGACACAGGGCAAAAGTGAGCATGTCTGTCTTTGCATCTCTGTTCTGGTCTCATTCCCTCTCCTTATAAACCCAGAAAGAGTCAACCACAGGGACCCCTCACTGAGGCCTAATCCCAGCCTTCAACAGCATAATCAGATTGAGTCTCCTCTTAATACCTTCACAATATTCACAAATTCCAACACATGAACTCTCGGGGGACATGTTGAAACCATAGCACTCAACCTGGTCACCAATGATTCCTTGGTTAGTAGCAGTTCTTTGTTTCTCTTCCCAAATGGAATTTCAGACCATCTCAAACATGTCTGATGAAATATATGCATACACACATATATATAAATAAATACATGTGCACACACATATATAGGAACAAGTTGAAATATAGACAAACTCCTATAATAGTGAGGTAAACACATGCTTGCCAAATTGTCTTCACCCTAAAGCATGTAAAAACAAATAGTAATGTTGGCTGAGATTGTAATAATAAACATAACCATCATATATTCTAATTTTTTTAGGAGAGATTTTTGCTATTATGGTGTGTGCGCTCCCCAGAGAGACAGAGAGAGACCGAATGCAAGAAATCACCCCCCAGGGGGGATGGCCATGCCGCAATCCCTTCTCCTGCATTCTCCTCTCAGGATCTTGGACACGCACGCACACGTGCCCAGCGTGAGTTTTAAGCTGGCAGATCCAGGACTCAAACCATGGTCAACTATGTTAGAGTCCAGCGACTCTACCATCTGCTGGTCCCTCCTGTAAGACTCTTTAACATGAATGACTAAACAATATTAAAATCATATTTATTTGCACCTTTTAATTTTATCATCTATTTTCCCATTTTCCCACAGCACTGAATTTAGCAAATGAAGATGCTATAACACTTTAAGATCTAAAGCTGGTTGTTTAGTAAACTTGACAAACAGGACAGATTATGTTTGGTTACTTCTTATAAATATCTTAATACATTTTACCCACATTGATAAAGACTATTCTGGTTAGCTGAATTTAACTTAATCTTGGTATACAAAAAGATAACAAAACCATGGTGTAGTTTAAGAACACCGTGGAAAGAACAAGGGTACAGACCATAGCATTTTCTTTTAGAGAGGCATATTCATATTGAAAATTATAAATTTTAAAGACATACTACATTCCAGCCAAAGATTTCCACTCGAGTACCTACATCGTAAGTAAGCAACGTTTACTTCCTTTGAAAATATCCTGAGGCTTCACCTCTGTGATGCAGCGCACACGTGCCCAGCGTGAGTTTTAAGCTGGCAGATCCAGGACTCAAACCATGGTCAACTATGTTAGAGTCCAGCGACTCTACCATCTGCTGGTCCCTCCTGTAAGACTCTTTAACATGAATGACTAAACAATATTAAAATCATATTTATTTGCACCTTTTAATTTTATCATCTATTTTCCCATTTTCCCACAGCACTGAATTTAGCAAATGAAGATGCTATAACACTTTAAGATCTAAAGCTGGTTGTTTAGTAAACTTGACAAACAGGACAGATTATGTTTGGTTACTTCTTATAAATATCTTAATACATTTTACCCACATTGATAAAGACTATTCTGGTTAGCTGAATTTAACTTAATCTTGGTATACAAAAAGATAACAAAACCATGGTGTAGTTTAAGAACACCGTGGAAAGAACAAGGGTACAGACCATAGCATTTTCTTTTAGAGAGGCATATTCATATTGAAAATTATAAATTTTAAAGACATACTACATTCCAGCCAAAGATTTCCACTCGAGTACCTACATCGTAAGTAAGCAACGTTTACTTCCTTTGAAAATATCCTGAGGCTTCACCTCTGTGATGCAGTCAGCAGAGTACCAGGCCGCAGAGCTGGAAGCCATATGCTGACCACAGTTTGAGTCTTCAGTCTAGTTGGCCTGAAAATACGCTAGGTGTGTTCAAATGTACCCAAAGTACTGGCAGTCTGAGGACTAGAGGAAGGGGATTGGGGCATGACCCAGCCCTTTGGAGGGTGCTTCTCTCTCTCACTCTCACACACATGTGTACAGGCTCTATTATAAATAGAAAAAGGAGAAAGTAAGCGTTATATCAAAATTTAACACCAAAATGAAAGTAGAGGGGAAAAGAATGTTTTCTAAAGTCTTCTCCAGAACGCATCAGAAAACAAAGAAATCTAATTGAACAATTAATGTTTAATTAGGAACGTTGGCAATTTGTTCAGAAAATGAGTAAACCAAATGAAAAGTCCCTGTTTGAGTAATCAGATGTAGAGACGAAATAATAACAACAGCAGATAGGGTTTGCTGGGAGCTTATTATATGTGCTACAAATGCCTGCAATCACAGACAAATTGGCCACCTGCAGATGCCCAGCCACTGAATAGGTGTTTGGTTGTGTAGTTAAAAACAATTTTAGCCCACATTTAAAAGCTAGAACATTTCCAATTTTGTTTGAAATCTGGATACTCATCTGCTCTGGAAATTGGCAGCACCAGACCCACCTTCTCCCACGGCAGAACAGGATACACCTTAATAGTGACCACTTCACCAATTTCACGATGCACACACATCCTGACTCCCAGCACCCCGAGCCCCGAGCCCCGAGCCCCTGCATGCAACTCTCAACACAGATCTTTCTGCTTACAGAATATATCAAGACCAGATACCGAATTCATTTCCTTCTAACAATTCTCCATACTGATTAAAACAAAAATAGAATGGGAAAAGCTTCAAAGTTATTAAATGACAGGGGAAAGGGGAAAATAAAATTTTTAACAAAGACCTTTCCCTCCTGGCCGACAATGATTTTACTATCCTTGTTATCTGGCAGAGCCTAAGTTGCTTTATGCTTTTTAATGGTGATAATTAACATATATAAAGCCCATCTATTAAAATTCCAGAATTCTTTTCCTTTTGAAGATTTTTAATTATAAACTTTGAAGTCTTCTGGGTCTTCACTTTGCACAGCTTCTAGCTGTGTCTTTTAGATTCTGTTTAATCAGCCTGTAATACTTGAATTTGCACAGTTATCTTTTTTTAAATTTATTTATAAGTGTGTGTGTGTATACACATAAGAGAGAGAGAGAGAGTGTGTGTGTGTGTGTGTGTGTGTGTGTGTGTAAAAGAGAGAGAGAAATGAGCCCCCTTCACAGGATCTGGTCACACCATGATCCTGTATCTGCAATCCTCCAGCCAGTCAGATCCCGAGCACTCATAAACATGCCTGGTGGGCTCGGGCTGATGGGGCCAGGGGTTTAAGCCACAGTAGCCATGTGGGAGCTGGGTTGTTTTGAGCAGTACATCACTGCTGTGCCATGGGCTGGTCCTGAATAAGCTACTTCTTGATGAAGGCATTTTGCAAATAGAGTTTCCAAAATGCTCTCTTATAAGTCATTTTGACTAGAAAAAAATTCAAACATGAACTATTGATTAAGTGTGTGTGTGTGTGTGTAAAAGAGAGAGAGAAATGAGCCCCCTTCACAGGATCTGGTCACACCATGATCCTGTATCTGCAATCCTCCAGCCAGTCAGATCCCGAGCACTCATAAACATGCCTGGTGGGCTCGGGCTGATGGGGCCAGGGGTTTAAGCCACAGTAGCCATGTGGGAGCTGGGTTGTTTTGAGCAGTACATCACTGCTGTGCCATGGGCTGGTCCTGAATAAGCTACTTCTTGATGAAGGCATTTTGCAAATAGAGTTTCCAAAATGCTCTCTTATAAGTCATTTTGACTAGAAAAAAATTCAAACATGAACTATTGATTAAAAATATAGGTTTATAACTCATTGGAAACTAAGATTTGACTTAATTTGGGCACTGCTATATTTGAAGTTATTTTGAAAACTGTTTTATATAATCTCAAAATAATAAAGTTCTTGTGTGTAAGGTTCTGCCTCTATGGCTGCAATCTGCATTTTATTTTGCATTATTTTTCATCATTTCATCTTGCAGGACTTATGTCACTGTTAGTCTCCTATTTGCTCTCCCACATTTCCTTCTTTAGAGAACATCAATCTAGTCACTAAAGAATAGTAAAGTCTAAATCATATAAAAGAATGTTTAAGTTTCACTCGAAACAATATGAATTGCTTAGTAAGATCATTTAAACCCAAAAAAGCACATACTCATATTTGGAGTTTTTTTCAAATTTTCTTTAAATCACGTTCATGCATACAGACAGGTTTGTAAGAATGGTTGGATCACTATGGAGCAGTATCTGAAAAAGATGGCGAATAATAAAATTTAAAAAAATTACAAGTAAAACAAGCTAAATATATTTAAAAATCCTAAAATCCTAGGTACTTACAAAACTGATATACGAAGAAATAACAAGTTCTGCATGATAGTTATCATGGCTTCTCTGTTCTAGGAGTCCTCCAAATATCCCATGCTTGACATCTTAGAAAGACAGGAGATTAAAATTCTGCCTCTGGTTGCACCAACTGACTAGCTGTGTCTCTCAGAACCTTGCTTTCCTCTTTACGTCTAACGGCGATTAGATTAGATATCCACGAAGTCCTCCCAGGCATAAAAGGCTATAGACTTTGTTCCCTGTCTATGATTCTACAGAGTAGACCCTCTTTATTTGAGCAGTCTCCTAGCTCCTTTGGTGTCTGTGCTCCTAGCCTGGGTTTTGGAAGGTAGCCTTTGGAGAATCCATAGATTAACTAACATCCTGGAAGGGAAACTCTGAGCAACATCTTTGCCCACTCACATTCTACTCACTCTCGTTAAGGGAGAAAGAGCCTAACAAGGAAAGGAATCAGGCAAATTGTCAGGCGAATTGATCATAGCCCTGATCAAGACTTGAAGCGTTGAAGAAGTTGGGTCTGCTTGTTGTGTCTTCTGGGTTGTGTCCTGGTCTGCCAATGTCCCAGTGGTGGATAGTTTTCATTATTCCCACCTCGTATGTCAAGGACTCATTCTCTTCCACATCATATTCCTACCCATCTAGCGGCTGCCCAAATCACCAGGCCAAGAACAGATACTTAACAAAAATGAAAGTCTTCATAAGTACATACTGGACACTAAAAAGAAATGCCACGGAAGAGGGCTCTCTAAATCTGCCTCTGAGTTTTTGGAGGCTTCCTTTGAGCTCTGACATGCGGGAAATGTATCACGTCTGTGATAGTTGATACCTATTGCATAGGGAAATAGTTTGCCCTGTATGATCTATTCTTAAAGTCCTCCTTTCTCAGAAATCTGGAGGGAAAACTTCTAGCACAAAACATTATAAACTGTCAGTAAGTTTTCTTGTACATTTCTGCCCTATTCCTATGTACACTTAACTACAGTTCATGCAGGCACATTAGCAAAATTTTACTGTACAAGGAATAGTCTTCTCTTTAAGTTTCTCCAAAGCCTCCTATGGTTTAAATAAGCCCTAAACATGATGACTGCCTATCTTCCTGTGGCCTGATTATTTGTCGTGTATGTTTGGTTAGTTGTTTGTGAAGTCTTCTATTACCTAAGCCTGTTGACTGATCCATCATTCTCTGACTAGGTGTCTGTTCTCTCTTCCTTTTTGCTGATCACAGAGGCGCAGCCCGGTAAGAACTCTCAACATTTTTACCTTAAACATGTATAGAGAAAATTGCTTCCAAGGCAAGGTGGCCAGGTTGGTTTCCCATTAAATTTATGATAACACAGTGTGAATGAGGCAGATGAAGTAGGTTACTGGTTGGAAGTCTCTTTGGCTCTGTAAGAGTCAAGGACATATTTTAGAATGATCAGATTATTTTTCCACAGCAAACTCAATTTATTCATGGGAATCTCAACCCCTAGTGCTAAATTTGAAAAATATTGTGGGACTTTGTGTGTGTGTGTGTGTGTGTGTGTGTGTGTGTGTTCATACAAGGCCTGGAGATTGATCAAAAAAGTACCAGAGAAATTAACAATAAATAGCAAAGTAATAACAAGGAATAATAAAATGGTTACCTAAAGAAAGTAGGTAACCATTTTTAAGCCACAAGTTTTTAAGCCTGAATTCAAAATATGTCCCTGGATGATAACAAACATTGTCAGTATACCCTGATATATTGTTATAATTTCCATCTTTGGAGCTGGAGACACATTTTCAAGCTAATATTCCTAGGCCGTCATATAATTCTTAATTTCATCACTGAAGAAAAACTTGGAAAGGGTAGACTAATTATTAGCTTGCATTGTTCAAAATGAAATCTCAGTCATTTATTTGTCTTAGGTTGAAGAGTTTGATGAATTTAAGGCAACAAAAATAAAGGTCCTTTCAGTGTTTAAAATGACCCCCACTCTGCTTGTCAGTCCCTAAGAGAGGAAATAGGGCGCCCATCCAATTAATTAATTATTTGAGACAAATGCCCTGCCCCAGGTGATACATTCTTGGTTCTCTCTTTAACTGCGTAACTGACGGTCAAAGATGGCGTCTGCAGGGATTCAAGTGTGTTCATTACAATTCAGCTGTTAGATGGGATCACATATTACAACAAACTACTCTTTTCCTCTTAAGAAAAAAGTTAATTCATTAATTCAAAATGAAGAAAAATTACTTTCAATACATATATAATAGAACAATCATTAAAAAGAGGAAGATATCGTCATTCCGTAAAGAGAAAGTTTCTGTAGCCAATGGGCTTTTCTCCCGAATGCGATCTGTGTGGTTGCCATCACCTGAACCTTATTCTAGCATTGTCATGCTGCAACATCAGGGCCATCAGAGAGCTGTGTGCCGGATCCGGCTGCAACAGGACTTTTTTCTTTCTATTGCCACTGACTTGCTGGTGATCATTTGAATACCTGTTCCTTTCTCAGTTGATAGCAGTTGAATTCTTCCTAATTTCTAAACAACAGTGTCATCTTGCATATTTCTTCTGTGTCTTGCTTGCATTAACTTGTGATTGCTCATTCATGACAAGTATTTAATTTAAATGTTCCTGGGACTTCTCCTTTGGTGCCTGTGAACAGTAAATACCTATGGAATGAACTGACACACCTGAGCATTGGTGAAGGCAAAAGAAGCTTTGCACTATGTCAATTTCATGTGATTACATGTTTACTAGAAGGAGCACGAAAGAACATAGGTCTTCAATAAAGTCTCTGAGCTCTCTGAACTTTTGGATTTCACGGGTCACAATAGCAGGTGTGGGCCCTGTTCCCCTGATGCCCACTTATTAATCCTGTGATTGACTATTTGGAATTAAAGCCCCTGTATCTCTTCCTTCAAACTTTATTAGCCAAATTCTGACTACCTGAGGGTCCAAAGTGCAGAAAACTTTTAAACTCCATTTGAACAGTTTGTCCTCTATTTCTAAAAACTTTTATTTTCCAAAAGCAATCCTGTATCGAAACTCCTTTAATGACCATAGCAGATTGAAATAGCCATGCTTATTTTAAAATGTTTGCAAATAAAGTAATAATTCTCTATATAGAACCCATTATGGAGGGAAACATTGAGGGAAACATTACATTCTTAGGCAAAACAAGACAGAAAATCCAATTTGAGAGATTAAGCCACCACCATCTAATGGATTATTGTTCAGATTGAAATTCTTCATCATAAATTGGTTCAAAATGTCTCCAAAAATTCTGATATATTTTTAGGAAAAAGGGAAAGAAGCTTCTTACAGATCTGTTGGGTTGTCAGAAAAGTCATGACATATTTTTTCTATATTTTCCTATGCAAAAATGCCTCAATAGTTAGTTAGTTCTAGAGGAACTAAATATTGTTCTCAGTTGGTCATGTTATAATTTTCTTTAAGAGATTTTTGCTATAGGGCACGTGAGTTCACTAGAGAGACAGAGAAACAGAAAGTGAGAAAGTACGCCCCAGGGGGGATGGCCACACTACAATCCATTCTCCTCCAGTCTCCTCTCAGGACTTTGGCCATGTATGCCCACATGCCCAGTGTGAGTTTTAAGCCTCCAGGTCCAGGATTTGAACCATGGTTGACTATGTGGGAGTCCAGCAATGTAACCATTACACCATCTGCTGGCCCTGGTCATGTTATAATTTGAGAGAAGAAGACATATCTGTGCTCATTGAATTGAGCCTTCACCCAAGTGAGAAAGTAGAAGTAAAGTGTGCTTGGTGGCCACTCACAAAACTCCTTCATGGTTTTACCCCCTTGACAGTTTTCCTTTCATTTCCACCTTCCCTGCCCTCAACTCTGCCCTGTCAGTCTCCTCTGGCAGGCCATGACAAGCCATGCCCTACACCATAATGCAATCCTCCTTTTGGGCTATTTTTTGGTCCCATCCCATACGAAGAACTTTTCACAGCTTCTGATTTAGAGTCCAAACTTTTCATCTAATTGATCCTTCTATTAGCTGAATGAGTTTATGCTAAGGCATTGTGAAGACCAGCGATAACCTGCTCAGATCATTTCTTTGAGGACTACTTGCCTTCCGATAGTATCCCAATACCTTGAACTAAGGAAATGACTCTCAGTTGGTGGATGGGGAGCCCAGTGGTAGTGGGGCAAGGGGAAAAAAATTATGAGAGAGTACATGTGGGTAGGATGAAATTCCCTGCTTTCTTGAATAAAGCCAACCATTCAGTGGCAGATGCCTCCAAGTTTCCCTTCGCTTTAACAATTGTCACTTTATATCCTTTAAAATCCTATTAATAAGCTGAAGACCATTTCTATGAGCAGCTTGGAGACTCCACCTGACTAGAAGCAAATAGTAGTCCTAAGTGCATTCTGTAATTTTCTAATATCGAGCATACATTAAACTTAGATTTACTTTCTTATCTGCTAGATTTAAGAGGTTTTCTGTGGGGTGTTTTGTTTTGTTAATGAACTGCTCACAATTTGTCTTTAATTTACCAACTCTACCCAGGTAAGGGATTTTCTCATTTAAAAGACATAGGACTTACCCTCCCTTCTCTGTAGTCTTTGAGTAAAAAGAAAAACGGATCCATGTGTGTGCGCGTCAACAATTTCCAACTTGAATGCTGTGCTGAGAAAAAAATTTCATTTTCCTCACCTGCATTTCTTCGAGTTCAGTATAATTGCAATGACAAATAATACATATTGTACATAACATATATGTGGTCTTAAACCTTATAGTGTCTATTTCTAATTCTAGGGTGCAATTAAAAGGAACTTATCCAGTAAGTATATCTTAGCTACCAGAAATAGAGTACAATTTAAAAGAAGGAATAGTTCCTTGGATCTTGAAACATATATTCATTTGAATTATACACTCTTGGGCTTGATTTTAAGGCTTACATTTTTGTTTGTTTGTTTGTTTACACTTTTGCAGCAAAGAATTCTTATAATGATAGAGGTTCTCTGTGGGTTCTAAATGATCAGTATTTAAATTCTGTTTACAAATACATTTTGGGGGAAAAAGGCATTGCTATTTTCATCCTATATTTGTCAACTCTCGCTGTATCTTTAACTTCAGAAATTAATCTAAGCAAGTGTGCATTTGTCAACGGGGGTGGAGAGAGGAGGAGGGCAGAAGGAACTGAAGGTAGATATAACTTACCCATTCTTGTATTATTTGATATGAAAATTTTAGCCGACCAAGTGATGAGGTGGAGGTTATAATAGAAATAGGACACAATTTTCCTCTGTTATGTACAGCACATTCTAGGGAATTCTAAATGTGTAGTTCATAGTTAAAGATATAACATTTTCTTGGCATTTCAAGAAAAGAACAAGCAGAGAATGCTGGATTCATATATTATGTACATATGGCCTGGCTTAGTATTCACTCTTGGTGACTGGGAATCGCGACCAATCAAGGCAGCAGACATTTGAAGAACAGTATGCTATCCCACTAAGCTCTGCAGGATACAAATCTCAGTGGCATATCATGGTAGGTTGTTGGTTAATGAGGTTTTACAAATGCCAATGAACAGGCCACTATATATGCCTGATATAGGGCTGCTGCATTGCTAGAGGAGAGGGTTTGTTTTTGTGAAGTTTTTATATGGAGTTGCTTATTGATGGGACTTAAATCTCTAAGTGTTGCCAATTATAGTACATAAGACATATCAGAAGGAAATGATTAAAATAGGCCTAAAACTTTCCTTTGTCCTATGCATCAGGTGAAGAAGTGGCAAGACCCCGGCGTTCCACACCAACTCCAGAACTTATAAGGTAAGCATAAAAGGCATCAGTTGTGTTTTATAAAAGTTATCATGAATGTTTAACAACTAAACAAATGTCCTTTGGGTTAAACCCTCATCTACTATTAATAAAGGGCCTATCTATGTGGGTAGATCTGTATATCCATAGCATGGTCCAAATATGTTACCATTTCTCCCAAGTGCAGCCCAAGGGAGCCTGTAGAGAAGGCCTCTGCACTCAATCTTAAGGAACTCCAACTGAATGTGAATCTTTTCACTAATGGGAGGGATAAAGAGCTGTCTAAAGAGGTCTTTTGGTGTGTGAAATACTGATCTAAAATATATATTGCCCAGTACAGAGAAGCCTATTTAGTTGGATACAACTTCATGAAACATTCCACAAGTCACAAAGGAATCTTTTTGTTTATTTTTTTAGAGGGATTTTTGCTATAAGGTCTGTGTGCTCAGTGGAGAGACAGAGAGGGACAGAGAGACAGAAAGTGAGATATCACTCCCCAGGGTGGACACCGTAGTCCTTTCTTCTCCATTCTCCTCTCGGGGTTCTGGACACACGCGCACACATGCCTGGCATGAATTGTAAGCCACTGGGTCCAGAACTCAAGCGACCGGAGGCCAGAGATGTAACATTATGCTATCTGTTGGTCCCACCAAAGGAATCTTATATTTTGTTCACTGTTCTCGGCAAAGCTTTGTACTTTACAGTATATTCTTGAGGTTAAATAAATATTAAGCAGTTGACCATTATTTCCTCAAAAAGACTATTTCTATTTAAAAGCTAGATCCTTTTAAATCCTTCTCCAACCTCAACCTGCCTACTCATCCCTTGCCTCTCACCACATAGAATTCATTAAGATCAAATGAGTAAATCAGGTCTGGAGAAGAAATGGAGAAGATTTTATAACCGTTTTTTTTTTTTTTTTTAAGAGAGATTTTTGCTATAGGGCACTTGCAAACAGCTGAGAGACAGAGAGAAAGAAAGAAAGTGAGAAATCACCCCCTGGGGGGTTTGGCCACACCACATTCCCTCCCCTCCATTCTCCTCTTCGGATCTTGGGCATGCACACACACATCCCCAGCATGAGTTTCAAACTGCCAGGTTGAAGATTTGAACCATGTTTGACTATATGGGAGTCCAGCAACATAACCATTATACCATCTGCTGGTCCCATGTGTCACCTTTCTTCATGATCAGTCTAGAATAATAATTAGAAGAAAGGATCAGAGTTTAAGTTATTATCCTACTATTCCCCCTCTGATTTCTCAGTATTCTTCTCTTTCTGAGATTTCTATACTAAAGTAGGAAAAGGTTGCAACTAGTCTAATGGGTGGAGGGAAGAAGGGTAAGATTAGAAGCTGGGAGACCCAGCTTTTCATACAAAATTCCTGGATGGGTTGTCACTTCTTATTCCTATGCTTGACTTTTACTAATCTGAAACCACATTGACTACAACAGAGATGTGATGATGAAGATAAATACAAATATTTTTTGAGATCTTAAAAGAGAAAGGTGCTTTGCAATTAACAGTTATCTCTAGAGTTATCTCTTGTAGTATGGAGAAGCATGATGCTTTGAAATAACTTTTCTCCTTTAACTTATTACTGTTAAACCAGCAACTCAGTCCCCTGTTGAGAGCTAGGGATCTTCACGTCTATGAATTTTCTTGTCCCACACCCACTTGACAAAGCCCTTCAGGGGCTTGTGTATGCATGCACGCATGAGTGCACACAAACACTGAAAAACTATTTGAAAGCTGAAAAACTATTTGGGGCATTTTTTGAGCTCTTTGTTTCCATATTTTGCCTTAATGTGTGTGATTTAGCAAAAAGCCACCAGATGACACTACGGCCCTTGCTCCCCTCTTTGGTCCGCCTTTAGAATCTGCTTTTGATGAACAGAAGACAGAAGGTAGGAAAAACTCTGTATGTCTACAGATTTGCTTTCCTTTTCACTGAAGTATAATTTTTCTAGAAGAAATGTAGGTATTGGAAGGCTTATTTTCAATGTGTCGCCACATCCTTATGAGAAAGAAAAGGTCCAATCTAGGTATACTATACTATAAAGGACAAAATCCTAGTTTACATACTTCTGTTAATGTAGGATTTGAAACTTCACGTCAGGAATTTTTTTTTATGTTCACTCCTCAAAAGAAGTCAGTAAGAATTACTACAAATCCATACAAATCACTGTCAGGGAAAAAATGCTCTGTGAGCCAAACAGCCATCATTGAGGTGTTAGCAGAAACATGATGAACCCAGGCCGTACACTCATTGTAGTTGCTATCACTGTGATCTAGCCTCTCTGACCACACTTACTCACTTCTCCGCCTCATCAATAGAAGTGTCAAGTGGAGAGCTCCTAAGAGTCCTTGTTTGTTGACTCCAGACCCTGGAATGACCTTGAGTTATATAGCAACAGAGAAAGTGGGAGAAATGTCTTCACATCTGCCATTATTATTGAGTTTACCAATGAAATATTTGTACCTAGTGTTAAATATTTGACTTTTTAAAAATTAACTTTTAAATGGTTCTTAAATAATGCATACCTTGGTGATGTAAAATAAACTCTTCCTAAAACAGATATACTCTATTCCTGAAGTTATGTTCATCTCCAATGTACCTATCTCCAGTGATTGTGTTTGATAAGCTAGAATGTTTTTATAAACATTTTTTCACTTAAGAGCACTATGGCACATATTTGTCATAAAATGTTATCTAAAACCCATTGATAAACTGTCCTTAGGTATTAAAGAAAAGACCTGGAAGCAAAATTAGTAGGCTAAGCTAAAGTAATAAAGAAACTTCCACATACAGTGAATTAGTAAATAAGATAAAATTTTGTTTCTGTTTCGTATTAACAGTCTGAAAGTAAAACGAGATAGGCCTTGTAAGGTAACCCTGCTATCCTCAACATGTTCCCTTTCTCTCTGGGCCTAAGGGGCTGCTCCAGCCCTCATCCTGTCCCAGTTGAAGGGGTGAGGAGAGGGTCAGTGAAACTCAGTGATGATTGTAAGAGCAAAATAAGGAAGAGGCACACGTCACTTCCAACCAAAATCCCCTGAAGAGAATTTAGTGCCATGTGGTCATCTATATAAAACTCTTTACCATAGAGGAAATGGAGAGTTGTTCTAGCAGATAGCCAACAGCTGGCCACATCTGAATATTTTCAGTGATTTAGGTAGAGAAAGGTATCAACAGCCCTAAGTACTCCTTCAGGGATTTAAATATTCAAAACTTACAAGCCCTGCATAAAGGTGGCCTTGCACTGAGGCTGTCAGTTGTCCTATTAATTCATCTGTGATCAATCTCACTTTTGATGACATAATTGTACAGTGACTGGAGGTGGGTTTGTTGCCTCTGAATCTGCCTATCTCAGGAATTCCATAACTATATGGAAACCTTATATAAAAAGTAGAAACAGATCTTTAAAACCAAGGGGGTATTCCATTTTAAGTACATGGAAAAAAAATGTTACTTCCTATCTTTACAAAATATTTGCTTTCATGGTAAAACAAAACAGAGCTACCATCATCTTTGAACTTTGTTATGGAGTGGAGATATATATATATATATATACCTAGACTTGTCAATGAGTCAGGTTTGATTGTTCTTTAGGTGCTTCCAGCCCTGAATTGCTGAGAAATTCCAACATTTTCCCCAGTCCCACTAGCTCCTGCAGTATCCACACTTCCCTTTCTTATCTACTCTTTCTTATTTTTTTTAAAGGTTTTTGCCATAGGGTCCAAGCATTTGCCAGACAATGAGAGGGAAAGTGAGAAGTCATACCCCAGGGGGATGGCCATACCACAATCCCTTCTCCTCCACTCTCCTCCTGGGATTTTGGGCCTGCATGCATGCTCACCTGGTATGAGTTTCAAGCTGCTAGGTCTGGGACTCAAACCATGGTCAACTATGTGGGAGTCCAGTGCCTTACCCACTACACCACCTGCTGGCCCCTTTCTTATGGTTTTTGATTCTTCTGTTACTAGTTTAAAAGGCCTGGAGAAAAATGTGTATTATTAGAGGCCGATCTTAACTCTTCTACTTGTATTATAGACAAATTTTTTAACCACTCTAATCCTTGGTTTCCTTGCTAAAAAGTGGTGTTGAAATCAACTACATAATGATGGTGTAAGGACTAAAATACATAACAAAGCTACTCGCCTTGCTAATGTGTTTTATAGGCATTTTATATACACTACATTTATAGACATTATCTTCTTTAACCCTGTTAGTAAGTCAGAGGTTGCTCTTCTTATCTTCACTTTATACTGAAGGAAGGAAGCTTGGAGAGGTTAAATGATTTACCCAAGGTCTTTTAGGAATTGTAGAAGGTAGATTCAAATCCACATGTGACTAACTTCCCAAGCTGTGCTTTAAGTCATAACGAACTACAGCAGGGCTTGCTTAGTCCCTAGCACACAAGAGAGGCTGAGAAGAATTAGTTGTGTACATTGTTATCAAACAATTTTAAAAAATCAGAACAGGAAGAGAAAAGAAATCAAAGAAATGTTCGATTCTGTGTCCTTAGCCTCAATACTTAACTGCTCTGATTTATTTTAGGTATTTAAGTATGTTTATTTTTTCGGTCCTCTTCAGCTATTCACCAAGCATTTTCAGAGTAATTTAATTTCTCTTGATAATACCGTAAAAGCTTTATTCCAAGGCCCTGTAAGACCCTTTGGATACTCTGCACAAAATCCAATTACATTCAGTTTTGAAGCATAATCATAACACACTTTAAATAAATTAACTTACACTAAAACAAATGTCCTGGGGATTCATGCCCAGATTTTCCAATGGAGCCAGTATGTATACTGTCCCTAAGTGACCAATCCAGAAGAAAATGCAGATTCTGTTTTGGGAGTTTTATTTAGCTATATGTACACACAAAGACACCCCTCCCACCCACACACATACCACACTCCTATTTCTATTCTGTACTTGAAAAGAATGAGAAGCAACCCATTTCTAAATTCATCTTCCAGTACGAAAGCAAGAGGGAAATCACTTTGAGAAGTTCAACTTTGAATTGAAATGTTAAGTTCTAAAATCCAGGAGGATTTCTTTTTTAAACTCACCCTGGGAAATTTTCTTTTTATGTTTCCAGTTCTTTTAGATCAGCCTGAGATATGGGGTTCAGGCCAACCAATTAATCCAAGCACGGAGTCGCCAAAGTTAACAAGGCCTTTTCCCACTGGAAGTAAGTTATGTGTCTACTTTGTCTGGAAAAATAAGTGACTCATTTTACTGTCTGCAGAGTGAAATCAGGCAACTCTTAGGAAAGTCTACGTAAGCAACATTTGAACTGTATAATGTTAAAGAGAGATGTCGTTATTCTAATAGGATGTGGGATTAGAGAGGCCAGGTCAGGTTATCAAGACAGGAATCTAAAAAAATAGTGTCAAATTATTAACCTTGAATCATGCCTATTCAGGTATTCATTCAATAGGTGCATTTAAGCCTGAGTGTCAAGTGAATGAAGAATCCACTACATTCCAGGCAGTGGACTATCACGTAACACAGAGGAGAGGTGACTGAGTCAGATGCAGTGCCTGCTACTCTACACGGATAGCAGAATGCAGGACAGAATGCATGGAGAAACTTTCAAAATCATGTCACTGGCTTCAGTCCTTTCAAAATGTATCTTTGAAAGTTTAGAAGTTTAAAAATGTTATTGATGCTTCAATTATCCTTTCCAGGGTGACTAAGGCTGCAAAGGGCAGAAAGGACACATTGAGAGACAGGAGTGACCATTGGAGACCCAGAGAAATAGAGTGGTACGGTAGAAAGAAACTGAGACCAGAAATCAGGGCAAATTGATGTCAAAAGCAGCCACCAACCCTGCCTATCCCAGCATGCTCCCTCCCACTTCAGGAGGCTCTAAATATTTTAATAGCCCTATTGTAGTAGGTTAGACCACTTGGACTAAATGGAGTGCTCATTTGGTCAAGCCAGCTGTTCGATGGGGAGTTACTGAATTCTCCTCTCAGCAGACTGCCCGTAGCAAGCATGCATTTGTAAGGGACTCCTTAAAATATCCATGAGAGTAATGGATCGCAAGAAAAAGGTATTTTTTGGAAGGAGCCAAATGCGGAAGGTATTCTTACTCCTTAAGCTCACGTGCAGACCCCTTCATACTGTTTCCAGTTCAGCAGCTCCAGGGTTCTGCTTTAAGGCCAACAGTTTGTTTGTCAGGACTATAATTCCTAAAAAGTCATGTGATCCTGAAACTCAAAGGCTATTTCTCTCATAAAACAGGGTAGGAAAGACAGTTTCAACAGCTTTTTTTAAACTTCTAAACTTTCAAAGACATATTTTGAAAGGATTTAAACCATAGTGGCATGAATTTTGAATGTTTTTCCATGCTATTGGGAAACAAAGCAGTGAAAAAGCTCTAAGTTCCTTGAAAAGCTTTCTTTACAGACCTAAGCTATCCAAATTATTCCTAGAAAACCCTCCCAAGAGAATAAACAAATTAAATGTTTATATAGATGATGTATTGGTTTTGAGGACACACACTGGTATTTCAGAGTTGCAAGTGAGACTTAGCACAGCAGAGGCTGTTGTTTAATTGACGTGTATTGTATAGTTTCACTCATTTCGTGATTATAGCACACGTTTGCCATTTTTGGTTATTAGAATTTTATGGCATTTTATTTGTTTGTATGATATTTTGTTGATCACGGCCTTGATTAATTTTTTTGCAGAGATCCCTGATTGACTCAAGGTCTATGGGAAAACATGGCTCACTTGAGGTGTATTTATCAAAATCTTAATGATTAAAAACCACATATTCTTGGGCTTTAGGATGGGAGCTTGTTGTGTGAAAGGACAGGATGCTGTCTACAAATTCAAAAATAAAGGTGGGGCAGGTGAGGGGAAGAAAAGAATAACAGAAAGTTTTTCCCGGTTGGGACCAACAGTTGGTGTAATGGCTATGTCGCTGGACTCCCATGTAGTTGACTGCAGTTTAAGTCCCAGACCGGGTGACAAACTCATCCATGAGTGCCCATGATCCCGAGAGGAGAATAGAGAAGGATTGCAACATAGCCACTCCCCCTGGGGAGTAATTTCTTGCTTTCTGTCTCTCTGTTTCTCTCTGTCTCTCTGGTGAGTGCATACACCCTATAGCAAAAACCTCTCCAAAAAAAAAGAAAGTTTTTCCTGATGTGTGCAGGGAGAGGACATTGGCAAGAGGTCTCCAGCTACCTGCACACATGACTCACTCAGCTTTTAGGTTACCAAAACTTGGACAGCATTCAAGTTCACAACTGAACTTTGGGATGGTTTATGAAATTAGGGTGAACTCTTTGAATCTACCAAATATTATCAGGGACAAGAAAATATACCTTTAAATAAAGAAGAAGAAATATATACCTGTCCAAACAGTCATTCCTAACAAAGTGACAAGCTCAGTTTGAACAAGTGAATACTCTGGTAGGAGCCATAAAACTATAGTTTTTCTATTTCAGGATTATGTGTGGCCATAATCTTTGCCAAAGGAATCTGTTCATTCTTCTTTGACCCAAATCACATTGGTCGCTGGACTCCCATGTAGTTGACTGCAGTTTAAGTCCCAGACCGGGTGACAAACTCATCCATGAGTGCCCATGATCCCGAGAGGAGAATAGAGAAGGATTGCAACATAGCCACTCCCCCTGGGGAGTAATTTCTTGCTTTCTGTCTCTCTGTTTCTCTCTGTCTCTCTGGTGAGTGCATACACCCTATAGCAAAAACCTCTCCAAAAAAAAAGAAAGTTTTTCCTGATGTGTGCAGGGAGAGGACATTGGCAAGAGGTCTCCAGCTACCTGCACACATGACTCACTCAGCTTTTAGGTTACCAAAACTTGGACAGCATTCAAGTTCACAACTGAACTTTGGGATGGTTTATGAAATTAGGGTGAACTCTTTGAATCTACCAAATATTATCAGGGACAAGAAAATATACCTTTAAATAAAGAAGAAGAAATATATACCTGTCCAAACAGTCATTCCTAACAAAGTGACAAGCTCAGTTTGAACAAGTGAATACTCTGGTAGGAGCCATAAAACTATAGTTTTTCTATTTCAGGATTATGTGTGGCCATAATCTTTGCCAAAGGAATCTGTTCATTCTTCTTTGACCCAAATCACATTGCTTCTGACTTTCAAAAATATACTAGCATTTTAGAAATACAACTTGGAGAAATCTTTCTAGGCTGAATCTAGGCAACAATATCTTGACTGGATTAAAACCCCTCAAGCGAGCCCCCACCCAACCTGCTATCATTTTCATGATCACAGCCTGGATTTTAACTATCCGTTTACATGAAAGTCATTCTGTCAGTCATAAAATCCTTGAAGGCAAACGCTATTTTTCCCCTGTCCTTGGTCCCAAGAACTTGGTGGTTGATCGAGGTTTGTTGAATAATGTTTAAATGAGGGACCAGCAGTTAGCATAATGGCTATGTCGCTGGACTCCCATGTAGTCGACCGCGGTTCGCGTCCCGGACCCGGTGGCTTAAAACATGCTGGACGCGTGTACGTGCGTGCCCAAGATCCCAAGAGGAGAACAGAGGAGAAGGGATTGCGGCGTGGCCATCCCTCCTGGGGGGTGATTTCTCGCTTTCTGTCTCTCTGTCTCCCTCTGTCTGTCTGGCGAGCGCACATGCCCTATAGCAAAAACTTCTAAAAAAATAAAAAATAATGTTTAAATGAATAAAAGGGTGATATTATGCTTTTGGTTTGACATTCTTTGATAAATTCTTATTAAATGCAAGAATGTTTCTTCAGTCCCTTGGCTTTGGACTTTAAAAATAAATAAATAATAAATAAAAGATTATTCATAACTATTCCATTTCTATAACAGGAATATGCATGAAAACCTAAGTCCTGCATATCTATAGTGCATTGTGTAATTTAGAAAGCACATGATCAATAGTTCTTGACCTCTCATCTCTTTACAGCACCTCCACCTCTGCCTCCAAAAAATGTACCAGCCACCCCACCCCGCACAGGCTCCCCCTTAACTGTTGGACCAGGTAAGCTTTCGTTTTTGTGTTCTCTGGGATGACCTGGCAAATGGAGCAGTAATCTGGACCTCAACCTGCCCTCCATCTGTTGGAAACTGTTGGCTACATCAAAACGTTACAGTGCTGCATTTCATTTTACTTCCATAACAATTTATTATGCAGACTTATCTCAAAGCACCACACCTGTTTCCCCCTCCCTCAAAAAATTCATTTCACAATTTTCCTCAGTAGAACTTGGTTGAATTAGGGCTAAATTTACTTATAAAACAAACAAAAATCTTCACGTGAAAAGGCATTGTTTAACTGACCTCTCATTTCTTTGGATCTCATTTTCATGATTTACATATGAATAGTCTCAAGACATGATTTGCATTTTTCTGACACCCAATAAAACTTTTGCTAGGACTGAGACTATCTATGCTATATAAAGGCATGAAATAGTTCCTAAGATGTGCAGGATACTTGGGGTGGAGGCCTGTTATTCTTGAAGTCATTCCATTTTTGAGGAGACTCGAAAAGTTTCCGGAAAAGCAGAATCAAAATGCAAATTTGTTCTGATGCAAAAAAACCCGCATTTTTCTCTGATCTTTTGGAAGACCCGTTGTACTATCCTGTGGCAAAGGTATGTGTAAAGATCATGAAACCTGGCTAGGAATTGCCACATGTCTTTAGACAGATATTTTCTAAGGTACATCTTTACCTTCTATGAAAATCAATACTATGTAGTTGTACAATTTATAATCTGCCAAGTCTTATTGAACTAACAAATCAAAAATAGTAATAGTGTCTGGGCCCTTAAAATGGGCTTCTTTATCACCTTTAGAATTCTGTTGCAGCTTCAGTCCTTCCTCCTTATCCAGCCTGGTGAGTGTGCTAGCTACAGACCAGGTGTTATCAATAAAAGCAAAAGCAAGGCAGTTATTGTGAAATTTATATTGACTCAAACCCAGTAGAGAATTATCTAGAGTCTCATAAGTAAAGATATTTGCAACTTCAAGCCATTTTGGTCTCATGCATTTTTACAAATTATATTAGATATAAATAAACCTACCAGCAGCAAAATTATAAATACTGTGGACCATGCAAAATGCTATCCTATTTATCTGTGACTTGAAACCTTGAAAGTTAATTTCTTTCAAACTAGAAATATGAAAATACTAAGATAGGTCTTATAGCCCAACAGTGATTTAAAGGTAAAGTGGCTTCTGCTCAGGTCTTTCGGTTATTTAGGTAACAATTTTTCATTTGAATAACCTTAGTTTTTAAAAAGCACAGTTTACCATGGGACCAACATTATGGCTATGTCACTGGACTCCCATGTAGTCAACCACAGTTCGAGTCCTGGACCCCTTAAACTCACACCGGGTGCAAGTGCATGTGTGCACAAGATCACAAGAGGAGAACGGAGGAGAAGGGACTGCAGCGTGGCCATGCCCCCTGGGGGATGATTTCTTGCTTTCTATCTCTCTGTTTCTCTCTCTGTCTTTCTGGTGAGCACACGCACCCTATAGCAAAAAAACAACCTCTCCAAAGAAAAAAGAGCAGTTTCCCAAATTGCAATTTTTACCAAATATTTCATGTCAAACTATAGAAGATTGTCTTTATTTTTCTCTTATTATTTGATGAATTAAAAAAGAATAGCTACTGCTAATGTTTTAGCAAAACAGAGTCATTTCTGCATCATGATTTCAGACAGATGTATGTCACAGTTAACTGTATGATGTTAACAGATTAGACTTGAGGAGAAAAGAAATTATAAAAATGTTTCTCTAATTTTCTTCCCTATTAAACAGCTACATGCGACAATTCTAATAAGTAGCAAATGTCTTTTCAATAACATATTTGTTTATTGTGTGTGGGGTGTGTTTGTGTGTGTTTGTGAATACCTGTGTGGGTACATCTCTAAATAATCTTTGTACTGTGTCTCTGGTGTATTTAAGGTCAAAGATATACAGCTCAATATGATATGATCACTTTTCTAAACCAACAGATATTATAATTAACTTCATCAAACATTTTCATTTAATATACTAGATAGACAATCTATTAAATAGGAGGGTGATTTTTCAGACATCAAACCTTTTTATATTGTATTGTGTGGATTTCAGTAGGCCGGATTTCCAGAAGTGACCTCCTTTTGGAATTGGCATTTCCAGAGCCTGTACTTCTCTGTGAACCTAACCCTGCCTCCTCAAAACAAGCACACTTTGTACACTTGTGAGCAGCCTTTGAGAGCAATATCATTTGATAATAAATCATGGTAAAGTAGCTAACTGGGTCACCTCGGGGAAGAATAAATAATGGCATAAAAAAAAACGATGCTCACATTATGGAGGTGGGGAACTCACCCCCACCTTCAGTTCCTAATCTAATAAAAGTGTTATTACAGCATGAAACACGCCCATCGAGGCACCCGGTAACCACTGTATTTAGCAGGCTTTGCTTTCACCTCCCTGACCGCCCCACCCCAATACGAATAATAGTAACAAAGTCGATTAAAGTTTAAAATCAACTACTTTAACCACAGGAAATGACCAGTCAGCCACAGAGGTCAAAATTGAAAAGCTACCATCAATCAATGACTTGGACAGCATTTTTGGCCCAATCTTGTCCCCCAAGTCTGTTGCTGTCAATGCTGAAGAAAAGTGGGTCCATTTTTCTGATACGTCCCCGGAACATGTCACACCAGAGTTGACTCCAAGGGAAAAGGTGGTGTCCCCACCCGCTGCATCAGACAACCCACCTGACTCCCCAGCTCCCAGTCCTCCTGGCTCCCCGGGCCCTCAGAGCCCCCCAGGGCCTCCTGGGCCTCCTGGGCCTCCTCGCAATGTACCATCGCCGCTCAATTTAGAAGAAGTCCAGAAGAAAGTCGCTGAGCAGACCTTCATTAAAGATGATTACTTAGAAACAATCTCATCTCCTAAAGATTTTGGGTTGGGACAGAGAGCAACGCCACCTCCCCCACCACCACCCACCTACAGGACTGTGGTTTCGTCCCCCGGACCGGGCTCGGGCAGTGGTCCGGGGACCGCCAGTGGTACGTCTTCCTGTTTGAGTGTGCTTCGTGTGAGGGGAATGGCCATGGCTGCTGCAGTGTGAGCACCACCTCCTCCTGCCTGGCAAGGACCTTTAGAGCTTCAGCCATTCTCCCTCTGCTCTGGGTGTCCTGTGGCCCCGTGGCATGTCCTGGTCCATTGAATGCTCGCAGTCATAGTCCCAGTCTGTGGATGTGTTCTGCTCCTCGCTCTTCCAGCCTTTAGGAGTGGCCTGCCTTCCGCCCTGTAGTTAGGAGGCCCGAGAAGTCTAGAAAGTCTGGAATGTGTTTCATGTTAAATGTCTGGTTTCCTGGCAAATGCCTCTACAGAGGCCTTAGGTTTTATAGGTAAAATGTAGGAAAAGGAGGACCAACAGTTAGCGAAATGGCTATGTCGCTGGACTCCCACGTAGTCGACTGCGGTTCGCGTCCGGACCGGTAGCTTAAAACTCACGCGGGCATGTGTGCGTGTATGCCCAAGATCCCGAGAGGAGACTGGAGGAGAAGGGATTGCGGCGTGGCCATCCCCCCTGGGGGGTGATTTCTCGCTTTCTGTCTCTCTGTCTCTCTGTCTGTCTGGCAAGTGCACGCACCCTATAGCAAAAACCTCTCAAAAAAAAAAAATGTAGGAAAAGGAGTTGTGGGGGTTTTTTTGTTTCATTTGCTTTTGTTTTTAAGTGAGGGAGAAAGTCACATTAACTTTTCTGACTTATTTAGGGAAAAAAAAAAAAAGATGCAGGGTTGGAGCCAGCCAGGTGGTATGATGGTTAAGGTGGCTAGATAGGACATGGCTGACTATAAATTTAGAGTCCTAGACCCAGTGTCTTAAAAAATACACCAGACACCTGTGCATGTGTGCCCAGAATCCCAAGAGGAGAATGGAGGAGAAGGGATTGCACCCTCTGGGGGTGATTTCTCACTTTCCCTCTCTGTCTCTCTCTCTCTGCCTCTCTCTGGCAAGTACATGCAATCTATGGCAAAAATGAAAAGAAAAAAAAATTAAGGTTTAAATAGGAGACTTTAGGGAACAACAAAGACTGACTTGGGCTTCCCAAACTAATCAACTGAAGACAACGTGGTTCTCTGGTCTCACCATTTGACACCAGCTCTCAGTCTATGCGGTCATCTCTAAGTATGATGACAGGTGTTGGAAAAGCCCACCAGAAATGTGCTTTGGGGAACTCTCTATGCAAGTTCTAACACTGGATTTGATTTGGGGGAGGGCGGGTTTCTTTATTTATAGCTTCATTTTATGTTTTCTCATTAAGAAAGGATGAGCACCTTTCCTTCCATATTCCTTCCACTGTTGCTCAGATTTGTCTGGCGAGATCCTTCAGTGCCCTCCCTCCTGTGCATGGGGGTGCAGTCTAAGCACTTTCAAGGGGATGCCATGTGCTATTTGAGAATGGAGGAGAAGGGATTGCACCCTCTGGGGGTGATTTCTCACTTTCCCTCTCTGTCTCTCTCTCTCTGCCTCTCTCTGGCAAGTACATGCAATCTATGGCAAAAATGAAAAGAAAAAAAAATTAAGGTTTAAATAGGAGACTTTAGGGAACAACAAAGACTGACTTGGGCTTCCCAAACTAATCAACTGAAGACAACGTGGTTCTCTGGTCTCACCATTTGACACCAGCTCTCAGTCTATGCGGTCATCTCTAAGTATGATGACAGGTGTTGGAAAAGCCCACCAGAAATGTGCTTTGGGGAACTCTCTATGCAAGTTCTAACACTGGATTTGATTTGGGGGAGGGCGGGTTTCTTTATTTATAGCTTCATTTTATGTTTTCTCATTAAGAAAGGATGAGCACCTTTCCTTCCATATTCCTTCCACTGTTGCTCAGATTTGTCTGGCGAGATCCTTCAGTGCCCTCCCTCCTGTGCATGGGGGTGCAGTCTAAGCACTTTCAAGGGGATGCCATGTGCTATTTGTTTTTCGTCTGCTTTGAAAGAGGCAATCAAGGGTGATGTATTTAAACCCAGGAAGAGACAGAAAGGAAAGGCGTTTGTCTCTCTTTTGATATTCAGCCATCATTGCTGCCTCTTTCAGAGGACCATGTCTCAGCGCCTGCTCTGTGTTTGCAAATTCCCCTGTGCTCTAAGGTGACACCATCTGAGGTGACCAAGGACATGGCTAGGATGCACCTGCACTGTACTCAAGACAGCTATCTTATAATCAGCCCTCCTTCCCAAAAGGAAGACTATTTGAGACTCAAACAAGTTTGGGAAGCATGGCATTCAACCAAAACTCAGCACTTTTCTTCACCTCAGGACCTTTGGAAGCTTTTATTTTTCAGTAATAACTTTGTTTTTTTTATACTTTGTTTGCCTTGGGGGTGATGTGAAGTGCTTTATGTACCATTTCATTCACGCAACAGCCCCATGTGGTAGATACTGTTATTTGCCCACTTTATGGGGTGGCGGGGTGGAGGTGGGGGGACTGAGACTTGAGATTTCAAGTAATTTGCCCCTAAGTTTACACAGTTGAAAGGGACGGACTTGGAATTCATACTCAGGACTGTCTGATCCTGAACCTGTGTTCTTAACCTCTGTGCTCTCCAGGCTTTCTTGGAAAGTTTGGTCACAAAATATCCCAAACTTCTTTGACCACTGACACCCCCCCATAACACTCAGTATTATCAGCAAGATCACCAAATGTCAACTCTGGAAAGTACTCCTCTGCACTCCCTTCCAATTCTAGAGGGTCAGAGCATCCACCTGCATCTCTCTGTTGAGATGCAGGGCTCCTTACTTATTTGTAAAGAAAATAAAGGGTCCTGACATAAAGCCTTCAGATCACACACCCAAAAGATCCAGTTGTCCATCGTAAGAGAGGGGTGTCCTTTTGTTGTTTTCTAGGGGTCTCTCTTACCTGGGTTAGTCTCTGTCTTCTGAAAGGGCAGTTTAAAGAATACTAACCTCCCTCCGGTACTGGGCCAAGATGCTTTCCCAAAAAGTAGACACCCATGTGAGGACAGCAGGGCAGCTTGTTATGCATCTGTGTTTCCTCTATCACTTTCCACAGGTTCTGGGAGATATTTGTTGAATTGCGTTAATAGCTGATCTTGTGAGTAAGAGAAGAGCCTTAGAACAGCCCTTTTGGAGTCTTTGAGAGTTGTGTTGTTATTTTAAATGTTTAACTTCCACACCGTTTTTTGAAATTATTTTAAAATGTTACCAGTGAAGAGTCCTGATTTTTAATAATTGGGCTGAAAAAGGTTTGCTGGTACTAAAGGACTAGATTTCAAAGTGGAAAATTGAAGTGGGCCGGTGAGGCCTACGAATACATAAAACCTTGCACTGGTGTCTCCTGAATTAAGTCCCAGTTTATTTGCTCCTCAATCTCTTACTGATAGAATATACATACACTGTTAGAAAGGGACATTTAGGGTTGAAATATGGCCTCGTGTTTAAAGATTAGCAATACTTCTCACTACCTTCGTTTCATAACACTTAGCCTAATGGGATTCACTTTTCCTCTACCTCTCAAACTGTATTTAATTGGTAACAGTTATGCTCACTTTTTAAATTTCACTTACAACAGAGTGGCTCTCTCTGCCCAAGTGTAGACAGAACCTACAGCTTATGAAGCAAAACATTACCTGCTGTTGAAAACAGTTGGTGGTGAAGAATTTGCTCCAAGAACTTTCATTTCCTTACGGCAAGAAGTTATAAATACCTAGTTTGGCCAGAACGTTGCTTTATTGGAATGCAGATGCTGATTCCTGGCAAAGACTGTCTATTCTCCCATGTGAAAAGTGTGTCAGGAGACAGGAGGGAAAAGCAGTTTTATTGGCCTGCAGCAAGTTTGGAGGTCAGGGAAAGAGAGGAGTTAGTAAAGAGAATGTTCAGAGCAATGTTTGCTAACCTGGGAAACTAAACAATATTGAAAGAAGCTGTTGAGAAGCACACACAGAGACACACATGTACACCCATAAACAAAAGAGTTCGAGCTACTTGAGGTTGAATTAACCAAATATAGCTCTAAACTACAGATCTTTCTGAGCAGCAATGTCTGTACAAGAGTCACTAGTCCTATGTGACTATTCTAATTATAATTTTAGTCAATCAAGATTAATGTAAAAAGTCAGTTACTTAGGTATTTAGTTATTTACAGTAGCCACAATCAAGCACTCAGTGCCACATGTGGTTAGTGGCTAGCTTTTTGACAGTGGTTCTAGAACTTGTCATCATCATAGAAAGCTCTATAGGCAGCACTGTTTCAGGGCTTTTAATGTGTTAATTATCTTCTTATCTTCCCTACATAAAAAAGAAGAAGCTTAATATATAACCATTCCTATGCGTATTTAATACTTTTTGTCAAAGAATTGATGTAATTGTATTCTAAGAAACACAGCTCGAGGGACCAGCCCTGTAGCCTCGTTGTTAAGGGAGCCAGATTCCACATGGACAGCCACAGTTTAAATTCCAGCCCTGACAAGTTTAAAAACATACCGGCACACGTGCATGCATGCTTCAGATCCTGAAAGGATGGGGAAATAGAGGAGAAGAGATTGCGCCCCATGGGGGTTGCTTTCTCCCTCTCTCTGTCTCTCAGTCTCGCTGACACACCGGCGAGTACATGCACCCTCTGGCAATTTAAGAAGAAGAAAGGAAACACTATTTGGGAAAGCAGTTTTGTTCTTTACATATCTCAAAGGGCATATATTTTAATTCACTTGATTCTCCCAATAGTACAGTGGTATTTTAGCCTTATTTTGCAGATAAGGGAACTGAAGCTGAAAGCATTAACTTGGCCATAGTCACAAAGCTAGGAAGAAGCAGAGCAGGATCTGGCTCCAGATTTTTCTAATCCCACTGCCTGTATCTTTACCACTTCTCCCTAGCTGTCTCCACTGTCCCCCATCACCCCTACCTTGCCCAGTCCCCCTCACCACTATACACACACATAAAAAAGAGAAGACTTAAAGCTGTAGATATGTGGGTCTCAGGGGTTACCAAATAAACTCAGCAAATTTCAGGTAGAGAACAGCAAATAAATGGATGCAAATGAAAGGACTGAGGGTTATGTCAATGGTTTCCAACTTGTTTTTAGCTCACAGAACTCATTAGTGCTTAAAAAGTTAAACCTGAAGGAAGCGGAATCAGCATATAGTGTAATGGTTATGTCACTGGACTCCTATGTAGTCAACCACAGTTCGAGTCCTGGAACTGGCGGCTTGAAACTCACACCAGGCACATGTACATGTGTGCCCAAAATCCCAAGAAGAGAATGGAAGAGAAGGGATTGCGACATGGTCATCCCACCCTGGGGGAGTGATTTCTCACTTTCTGTCTCTCTGTCTTTCTCTGTCTCTCCAGCGAGCGCACACACGTTATAGCAAAAATCTCTCTAAAAAAAAAACCTGAAAGAAGCAAAAAGGTATAATTAAGAATCAAATAGTGAGTCTAGAGATAAACAAATAATAACCATACATTCTAAAACATGAAACAATACAGTAATCCCATGAAAGTATGGGAACCCATAGTTTACTTCTGAAATGCCCCGCCCCTCAGGTCTCGAAGGTCATTTGCTAAGTCTCTAGCAAGCAGAGTTTTAGCCAAAATATCTTTTTGCTTCTTACATGCTCTCTTAGTATCTTTTTAACTGTATAAATAAATAAATAAATAAATTATATCAACTTAGTAAAGGAAAAGTAATTCAAATGGAGAATTCTTTTATATATCTTTTTATCCTATATAGATATACATATTCACACACACACATATATACATATTTATATATTCAACCACTGTGCATCATTACAGCTTGAAAAATTAATTTTCCCAGCATGAATACACTGTATATTAGTCTAGTTAAAGACATCATACATGCTGTCATCAACAGATAATTTTGCATTTCCTTAAAGGCAAAGATAAAACAACCTGTCAATTAACAGTGAATTTTTCTTTTCTTTACATTTTAGTTATATATGTATCAAAAAAACACCATCTTTACTATCATGAACAGTTACAAGGGAAATCGAAAAGCTTTTGGAAAAATGAAATTCAAGTGCAAGTTTATCTTGGTGCAAAAAATTTTGAAATTCATCCATAGTTTTTTCATAATACACATTTTCTGTGAACTTTTTGAAGACCCCTTATATTGCATCCTCGTTGTGTAGCATTTTAGGGTTTATTAAACACCTTCATAAACATTCTCAATTTTGATTGTTACAACTACCTTGTACAGTAAAAACACCACCTCATTTCTTAAAACAAGGAACCTTAGCTTCAGAGAGCTTCAGATGCCACAGTTTATAATGGTCAGAGCCCCCGAACTCACATCATTTGACTCTCCATTCAGTGTGTTTCAATCGTTTACACTGCATTCATGATATCCTCTTAATACTTTCCCAAACATTACTGGAAAAAATTTTTAATTATTTATTTAATTTTATTAATTCATTTGTTCATTTATTTCAATTTAACTAGAGAGAGACAGAGAGAAAGTGTGAAAGCAAGCCACCAGGTCTGGGACTCGAACTGTGGATGGGCATGTAGGTTTGTCCAGCACCTTAATCACCATACCACCTGCTCGTCCCACTGGAAAATGTTTTTTTTACATTTCGAGAACATGTAGGAAAGGGATAAGCAGCTGACCTCCTGAGGATGATTTAAGAAATTATTTCTTGGAAGTATACCCTTAGATAAATATTTGGGACCATTCCTAGAGAATGATTTTCCCAAAGCTAAATAGAACCCTCTTTTCTCCAAGAAAGCCCCATAAAACTTCCTGACAAAGACTCTGCTGTTTAAAGGCCTATTTCCCATCTCTATGTTGTCACTTTGTCTTCTGAAAACATCCTGGGTATGAATCTACTAACATAATACTCAAAAGGAAACTTTGCAGTGAGGTCTGTCAAAGCATACTGTTTGTTTGTTGATTGTTTGGTTTTTTAAAGAGATATTAGACAAAGACTAAGAAAATTTAAATTGAGAGAGACGTGTGCAAGCCAACCATGCAAAAATAAGAATAGGCATTATGCAAAGTATGGGATTTCACAGTCAGTCTAAAGCTGTAAGAGATTGTGTTTAAGAGTTTGGGCTTTGGAGTTTAATTCTGCATTTGAGCTGAGTGACCTTGTGCAAGTTATTGAATATATCTCTAAGTATCAGTTTCTATTTAGATAGTAACTACTTCCAACATTTGTCATGGCAATGTGATAATACATGTAAAATGCCTAAAGTAGGTCCTGACCCAGTCAAATAAAAGATAAGAATACAATAAAAGTGAAAATATAGTGGCCAGCAGGTGATGTGGTGGTCACATCACTGGACTCCCACAAAGTTCCAGACCCAAAGGCTTAAAAATCATGCTGGGCATGTGTGTGTGCATACCCAAAATCCCAAGAAGAGAATAGAGGAGGAAGAATCACACCATGGCCATCCTCCTGTGGAATGATTTCTCACTTCCCTTCTCTCTATCTTTCTTTGGCAAGTACACACACCGTATGGCAAAAAAAAAAAAAAAAAAAATCTGGAAAAAACAATAGAATATAGTAGGTGATAGTAGTGGAAGAAGGTGAAAGTAGAGAGGGTTGGAGGTAACAGTAGGATTTTACAATAATGTGACCACACATAGAGTAAGCAGCACAAAGAAACACACCCAATGGGTATGCTAAAAACATTAACTTAATCATGACATATTATATTCTTGTACTGAAAATTCCTTTGTGTCCCCACAGATATGTATAATTATTACAGATCAATAAAAACTAATTTTTGTAAAAGATCTCAGATTATTTAAGCAAGAGGAGAACGGTTTACCCTTAAGGGCTCTTCTAAAATCAGAGCAGATTCTGAAATGATGGGTTCTGCTACTTAACTTCAAAGCTCTTTGAAAATCTGAACATCCGTGGCTGAGATACTGGTCCCAGACTCTGCAGAGATTAGACTTCTGTGGTGTGTTGGGAAGGGAGGGAAAGGGATGACAGAGAGGTAGGGAATATAAAGAGTAGAGTGTGGATAGTTCACAGGGGCAAGATTTCTTAGGATTTTCTTGGGATGATTTGATAACCTGCGCTTCTAAGCAAAGTAACAAAATCTCAACTATAGGTGGAACTTTTCTGAATAAGAACTATTTCAATATCGATTTCACTTTCTTAAGGTTTTTAGCCCTATAGTTTTCTCCTATAGCTCAGATATATGACTGAAGACAGGCAGGTCCCTGAGTCCAGAGATCCCACTGGTGTGCTGATCAGTGTGCATGCCAGCCTCTGTGTGTCTTCTGTGTTTCATATGCTTGTCATTGACAGCCAGAAAAGTAAATCCAAGAGACTTTTTCAAAAACCATCACAAGGGCCAGTCCATGGCATGGTGGTTAAGGCCGATGTAACCCATATGGCTGACCTCATAGCTTGAGTCTCAGACCCAGAAGCTTGAAAAACACACTTGGTGCATGTACATGTATGTCCAAAATCCTGAAAGGAAGGAGAAACGGAGGAAAACGAATTGTGGTTTGATCATCCCTCCTGGGGGATGCTGTTTCACTTTCCTTCTCTCTCTGTCTCTCTCTGGTAAGTGCACGCACCCTGACAAAGCTTTTAAAAAAAAAAAATCACTGAAAAATAATCATGAGCAAACTCTATGTTGACAGATTCCTCAACAGCTTCCTTCACAAAATAAAATCTTCTAAATTTAGTATTTCTGTTAAGATTCCAAACCCATATTACTCATGCAACATTTAGTTTACTTTCTTATATTTTGCCCTTTGCTTACCATCAAGTATTTGGGTGCCTCGATAAAGTCAGTGCTCAGATTTTGAAGCACAATAAAAAGGATCATTCACTTATTCATGTTTTAAAAAGAAAAAAAATCAGATATGGAAAAATCAGTTCAACTTCCTCCAACTTCTATTTTCATCTTAGACATATAAATTCTGAGTATATGTAAAAAAAAATAAATAAAGAGAATTTCCTGTCAAGTTAGTGTATTCATAATCAAAATGAAAGTTCCTACCACTAAGAGCCTTAATCAAGGATTTACCTTCTATCACAGATAGAGGAATCAAAGGATTTACCTTTCACTGGTGTCACATGACAATAAAAGGCAATGAGCTTCAGCTTCTGCCATCAACCATAGCTCAACTACGTAATTTTTTTTCTTTATTAAAAAAAGAAGGAGAAGAAAAAAGAAAAAAAATGTGTGCTGCAGTGTTTAGCATAGTAGTAACTGCTAAGGTGGGAAGAAATGTCTCTGGGGCTGGCATTGTACCTTGGTGACAGCACTTCAGGCCCCTGAGTTTCCCACCATCTTTAACACCAGCTTGTTTTGCAGGTGCATCATCCCCTGCTCGACCAGCCACCCCTTTGGTTCCTTGCAGCAGTACCACTCCTCCTCCACCTCCTCCACGGCCTCCATCCCGGCCAAAACTACCTCCAGGAAAACCTGGAGTGGGAGATGTGGTATGTTTCCCTCTGCCCTGGCTTCTTCAGAAACAGGTGGTGAGAATGACAAACAAAAACTTAAAATGCCTTCACACCCAGGACATCTTGCTTCAGTTCTGAGCATTAGAGCATCTGTGTGAATGAGCCTTACAGGCTGCATTGAAGACAGCCGCTGTAGTCTGGGTGTACATTTCCACCCTCCTCAAATCTCTACTATCTTTCAAGCCCCGGTCAGAAATGGTAGAGATAGAATGCTCGGGCCCTCAGCTCTTCTACAGAGCGTGGAATGCAAATGAAGAGAGTTACATCCAATTGTGCTAAATCTTTTAGAGAGGCATTTCTGTGCACAATATATGTCTGATTTTGGAAAACTTCAAGAGGGGACAGGTTCTGATCTGGCCCCAGATTGCAGAAAAGTTGTTGGTAGTAAGTGCACTATATAAATATAAAGAGGTTGCCTGATGAACTTGTTGCCCAAGTTTCTCGCACTGGGCTTTGAGGCTGCGTTCTGTGTGAACAATTAAAAAGACTGGCAGAGGGACACTTTTTGCCATCCGTACACAGCAATCACAAACTGCTGATATCTATAATATTTGGCCTGGTTAGCACAGTGCACTGTTACATACTGAAATATTGTCAGAGGGGTCTGAACTCTCACACTGTGTGACCCGCTTGGATCTGCTGACCACATCGCAGATCCCAGCTTTACTAAGCCTTGTGGACCTATTGAATTTAGACTGCTGGGGTTGATGGTTTCTCCAGATCCACTCCACAAATTCCTCTATAAATGTAGTTGATTTCAGTGTGAAATGGATGTCACCTGGAATCATATAAGAACCTGAGCTCTCATACCCAGGGCAGGGAGACATTGAAAATATGGGACAATGGAGCAAAGGTACTACAACCAGTGTATCTAACTCTCATCTCTGTTCTCCCTTGCAGTCCAGACCTTTCAGCCCTCCCATACATTCTTCTAGCCCTCCTCCAATAGCACCCTTAGCCCGGGCTGAAAGCACATCTTCAATATCGTCGACCAATTCCTTGAGTGCAGCCACGACTCCTACAGTTGGTAAAAATTATCTCCTCTCTTTTAATGCGTTTGTGGTTTTTGACTGGCTGTTTCTGATGACCTGAAATTCCCAAGGCCCTGGTGTTTCTGGTTGAAACTGTTTTGCTGTGTGTTTTGCTACAGTCACCTGACTCTTTAAAAGCACCTTCTCAGCAAAGGAGGCAAAGTGCTTTAGCTAAGCAAATAAGCAAATAAAAGAACATTAACATCTCTGTTTTGCACACCTTTTCTTACACTGTTCCATACAGAGATATTCAAAAAAGTAAGGAAAACAATCACCCAAGGTGGTCTACGTCAATGAGATTTATTTCTTTTAATAAAAAGAGTCTCCTTTGAGGGAAAATGTTTGAATTCCGGTTGTGTACTACATCAGAAATCACAAAATTTAGAACTTTGATTTTCTGGAGGCTTTTATTTCTTCATCATTTTTGGTTGTCTTAGGTTGACAAATGGTATAAACATTGGCATTGGGGGACTAGAACAAACTTTCTGACATTTTTAGTGCTTTTTTATGATGTGTGGTCAATTTTCTCAGAGAAATAAGTCAATGCTGGCATTTTCAGAAAATGCCATATGGCCTCTTCCCTTATGCTGTGATGCAAGTGAAGAGTTGAGAATGGCTGTTGAGCTGGATGGTTTTCCCAGGTTTAAATGCCTCCTTTTGCCTGGAGAATCTGTCCTCTTCCCAAGGCTGGTCTCTTCTCTTTTCCAACTTCCCATAGGCTCCTCCTGCTGCCTCTCTTATTTTTTTCAGGGTGGGAGAAGTTTTGTTTTCTGTTGTTTGGGGGTGGTGGTGTTGTTGTTTTGCATGGTATCTGTGACCTGGGCTTTTTCCACTCCATTTCTCCCACTCAACCTTGTGCCCCCATCTTCTTCCTTTATGGTGTGAACACCTCTCCAGTTCTACCATATTATAAACCAGTTGACCCATCCTGCATTGCTTGGAGAATCATTAGCCAAAAGTAATAAATTCC